CGCTGTGAGTCTAGACCATTGTTCCCCTTCTATTCTTGAATGTGTCATCTGTCAATTGATTATATCACGGAAATATTTCACAAATTAGCACACTTGATTTCCGCTGCGTCACGGTGATCGATTTTGGTTGAGAAATGGAATGAGTATGATAGGCAATCTGAGCACAGTATAGCATTGTAAACGGATAATTTTTGAAGTAGAAGTTGAAATTTTAACAATATCACTTATTGATTATTGCTGACAGTTTCTGAGTAACTCCTGTGTCTAGCTTCTCGTAGGAAGGATTATCAGAAGATTCAAGTGAAGTTTTATACTGATAAGATGATGGTCGCACAATTTCGTGGATTGGTTGAGGTCAGACATTAACGCCGTTGGATGCCACCTCAGTGGTCTATCGGTTAAGGGCTCTGGCTCGAGATTGGTAGGTCCTGTGTTCGAATCTTGCGAGATCGGGATCGTGGATGCGTACTGCTGAGGAGTCCCATAATAGGAAGAAACGGCCGTCCAGTGCTTCCAGGTTTTCGATGGTGGTCTAGCTTTAACTGACTCATGATCTTAACTATATGAATTATTTTTATTACGTAAATTATTATGCAATTTTGGTGTTTGTATGAACTAATGATTCGTTTGTACTTGATGACTGCTTAGTTCTGAATTCCGAATACGATATGTTTGTTCGTGCTCAACTAATACTTCTTGGTTAAATTGCCTTATTTCTGGAATTCCTAGTTCGTGTTATAATTCAAATATTCGTAATTATCACAGCAAGTCTACATAAATGATGTTAACTAGTTGGGGTGGTGAAGTGTATTAAAAACATAGGATCGAACTAACAGAGTAAAGTTAAGATTATGGAAGCTATTGAAAGTTATGTCAGTTATAAGTTGAAATAAAAAACACAGAAGCAAACAAGTAAGTGAATAAGAGCATTAGAGTTGACAAATGGAAATACGTGAAAGACCTAGCAACGATAATGGATTAAGCTGTGAGTGAAGGAGGCATCCAAGAACTATACGAAACAACGAAGAAACTGGTAAGGAAGTATGGCAAGCCAGAAAGACCGATCAAGGACAAAGGAAGAAGGCCAATAACTGAAATTTCAGGAACAGAGTAACATATGGGTGGAACACTTTGAGGAACCCTTAAATAGACCACCTACATTATCAGTTCACAAACTCAATGAATTACAATAGCCGTTACGGATCGTGGTTGTCCAATTCACATGATGATTGGAATCGGATAATTTTGTGTGCGTTTAGGGTAACTACAGATCACTAGCTTTGCCAACAGTAGAACACATGGAATCTGATGTCAAACAACTTTGATGATAATGTCACTTAAGTGATATAGAGCTGTAGGAATTTCCTCTGTACACTTTGGGTTTCCGTGACGTGCTTGAAGCTCATAGAATGTTGGAATATCTGATTGGAAAGCCAAGAAAATCTCTGAAGTCAAAAACATTTTTCGCCCGGATGTTGAAGGAACCACTTATGAAAGCCAAAATATTGGATATAGTCCAATTTTGTCTATCTCCTGGCATTCCGAAAACCCTTGATATGTTTTATCAACATGTAGTGGATGTAGAGTCGAAGACGGACTATGATCACCACTACAATTCGTTTACGCGCTCAAAAACGACTTGGTTCCTTCAACAGCTCGTAAATCAGAAGACTTTATTAATCCAGATCAAGTATATTTATTGGCGATCTCGTGGTATCGAAATAATACCGAGACGTGCCAAAGAGTACAGGCGAAATGAGCAGTGCGTGAGCAAGTTCGAACCAAACAAGGCGAAGAGCGAAAGCAGAAGTGAAACTGATACAGTTAAACAATCTCTGGTACAATTGGTTACAATAATAATAATTGTTTCCGTTATTCCAATCATGTTCTTATCGAGACTGGTCGGTCACTACAAACAGAATGTGCCGGATGAGAGTGACAGCGGCGTCAAAAATCAAGTGAAGGCTATTTGGCTCTGAAAAGGATGGAAGGGTCCGTCAGACTGAAAAAAAAACAATTCAAACATACCCATTTCTGGTCAACAGGGTAGAGGGAGATATTTTATCTGAAAGAGCACCTTCATTGAACCCAAACGGTAGCGAAGGAGGACACACAGATCTTCATATAAACGATGGAAGAAATCAGAATGGTCATCGAACAAGTGAAGAGTGACGACATACCAGCCAAAGCAGTGTAGCAGCGGTCTCTGTCTGCAACAGTAGGCCTCAACATACACGAATGGCAGGATACTCAAATGCAACACGGAGAAAGCCAAGTCAATCACACTTGATGGAGGAACTCTGGAAGAGGTGGAAACATTCACGTACCCGGGAAGCATCATCAATGAACGACGAGGGTCGGATGCAGACGTAAAGGCGAGGATTGGCAGAGCAAGGACCGCAATCCTACAATTGAAGAATATATGGAACTCAAAACAACTGTCTGTCAACCAATATCGAAGTCAGAATGATCATTGTTCAAATGGTTCAAATGGTTGAGGACGGAATAGAAGAAGCTTTCGCTTAACGGGCTTCCGTGTCTAGAAGCAGTGGATCACCAACACCTCCAGGCAAGAATCTAGGTATATGAACGATAATAGAGGGAAAAAAAGAATTTGGTAAATCAAAATATGTTATCCTAATCCTTAAGAATAAGTCAAGTTTTCTCTTAAAGGACTCCTGGGGGGTCGCTTGGACTAGCTCAGTCGGCAGCGAATTGCAGAACAATTGAACAATTGTCTACAGAAGATACTCCGTTGACTGGATGATATCAGCAACAGCCTATTATGGAAGAGAACAAACCAGATTCAAGCTCAAGTGGAAATCGGGAAAAGATGATGGAGGCGGGTCGGACATACACTGAGGAAATCACCAAACTGCATCATGAGACAAGCGCTAACTTGGAATTCTGAAGGTGAACGCAAAAGAGGATGGCCAAAGAACACACCGTTTCAAGGATTACAACCAGACATCGAAAGGATGAATAAGAACTGGAAAGGATTGTCCAGGAAAGAGATGGATGAGGAATGTTGGTGGTTGGCCTATGCTCCTTCACGAAAGGCAAGAGGCATGAGTAGGCAATTACTTCGATAATCCTGTGTCATTAGGAGAAAAAGTCGCTGGGGGATCAAGAATATTATCCTGATGTATATTAAGGGGTATAATACAACCGAATTTACTTTGAGTCAATCGTCAAATTTTACGCTCGGTGCATAAGCATGTATTAAAACTACAGATGTCTGACGTACAATATCGATTAAACATAGCTCCTATCTGATGAAATTCACTCCTTTCATTGACCTTCTGATCTATGTAATAATAATTATTTATTGTCAAATATTAGCATTTTACATGAGGCATTCCAGTTCACAGGCAATATCAAATTGTTACAGGCGTTACAGTTTTCACTGCATTAAATTGCTCAGCTGGGTTGATATTTTACAAGATATGAGTGTAGATGGTTTTAGTAAGAAACGTACTGACATCTCAGTTGGAGCGCTCTATAAATGCTGCTTTGAGACATGCAGCTGAATAGATCCATATGAAGTCGGGGGCTTCTAGAAACCGCAACCTTATATCCCTCTGGAATATCTGAGGCTTTAATAATGGTGCAGGACGAAGTCACCCGTTCCATATCTGTTTTCGGCGGTGTATCTCAAGGTGGCTGAAAAATGGTGTAAGAAAAAGAAAGGACGAGAAGCAGAGCAGACAACGTTCATAGAGGAATAGTTAAGGTAAAAGTACTTAGTCTATTTCTAAGTTATTGAGGTAGGTTGGCTAAAAGCGAATTCGACCACATGATAGACTTAGGAATAATTCGACCGTCAAATAGTCCGTGGTCATCTCCTTTGCACATGATCCCTAAAAAGGACAGCAATGATTGGCGTCCAACTGGTGATTATCGGTGTCTGAATGCTAATACCATTCCCGATCGTTACTCGTCGCCTCACATTCACGATTTGACAGCTACCTTGAAAGGTACAACTGTCTTTTCGAAAATCGAATTGGTTAAGGCTTACAACCAAATACCGATGGCGACCGACGACATTCCTAAAACCGCCATCATTACTCCTTTCGGACTTTACGAATTCTTACGAATGCCTTTTGGTTTAAGAAACGCGGCTCAAACCTTCTAGAGGTTTATAGATGACGTCTTCCGAGGTCTCAACTTCGTACATGCGTATGTTGATGACTGTCTCATAGCAAGTCCGGACAGAGAATCACATCTCCAGAATCTGGACATTGTTTTCGAACGACTCCAAAAGCATAGCATTACTGTCAACATTCAGAAATGCCAAATCGGAACAAACTCTTTAGACTTCCTAGGATACACCATTGATGCTCAAGGCATCCGACCTCTTAGAAGCAAAATGGTGGCCATTCTGGATTACCCAGAACCGTCCACGATCAAGCATTTGCTAACTTTTAACGGCCTCGTAAGTTTCTACAGACGGTTCATACCAAATTGGGCGTTCCTTATGAAACCGCTAACCGACCAACTTCGTGGAAATGCAAAATCAATTAGTTTAGACGACACCGCTCGAAAAGCATTCTCCACAGTTGAGAAACATGTCTCCAAAGCAACCCTAATTGTGTATCAGGACACTCAAGCGATTTGTTATTTGTTTATTGCTATGTTGTATATGGCAGAACAGACTGCAGACACAACTTCTACTCCGTAAGAGTTGTCAAATTCTGGAATTCTCTGCCGACTGAGCTAGCCCAAGAGACTTCGCGGGAGTCCTTTAAGAGGAAACTTGACTTAGTCTTAAGGACTAAAGATAACATATTTTTATGATTTACCAATTTCATTCTTTTCCTATATTATCGGTAATATACATAGGTTCTTGCCTAGAGGTGTTGGTGTTCCACTGCTACTAGACACGGAACCCGTTAGGCGAAAGCTTCTTCTATTCTGTCCACAACCATTTGAATAATTTGGACCATTTGAACAATGTCACTCAAGGTCGTGGTGGCGGATTTGACCTGGGCTTACCTGTGATGAATTGCAGAGAATATTCCTTTATCTTCGTATGCTTTTTCAGTTTTTTAATCCTTTTAATAGTCTGTTGTAGAACCTGAAATTTCGGATGTTGTTTCAGGTATCTGATTTGTTGTAACATTGTGTTTCAGCTTTATTTCATACAATTTTACTTCATAGGACGTTACCGACTGTGAGTTTCTATAGTTTTTTTATTTCAATACAGCTTGATTTTAAAGGAGGAGCAGTGAGCTACAATTCCTATCTTGGCATATGTGATGTGGATTGTAAAAGTCTTGACTTGACTTATGTAAGTTCCATACTTCCTAGTGAGTGTTCTGTGGTATAGTTTGTGTGGTTCTAGCATCGTTCATGCTTAAGAGTAAACATAAATCAAGGCAAAAATCTCTTAGAAGTTTTTTTAACCATCCTAATTGTTTTGATGAACTTTATGTCATGATAGGTCTTTCGTTATCCGACTCGGATATCATTATTTGTTTAGTTTTGTTCTGACTCTTTACTTCACTCGACTAGTCCCAGAAATCAAGGCAAGGCGTAAACAAATACGTAACTGTGTTTCAAGTTGAGTGACTGAACCAGATGCGGAAAAATGGTATATTTAAGACTCATACATTTAGAAGTCGAAGCCAAATACACGTCCTGTTTTTAAACGGATTAGGGGGAGTTAAATCGATTGCCTACAAGTAACTGGAGAGTTACTCCGTCTACTGTATGCCTAGACCAATAAAGATACAGGTTGCATATACTTGTTGTGAGTTGGAATTTCCCCCCTAAGATTATTGTTTGCCTTTTTATTTGGACACAAATATTGGTGCAAAGGACACAGAATACCTATGCGCCACACATGTCACTTGATTTGTGTGTCGGTTGTAATACTGATTGGGTACCCAGACCGAAGCAGGAGGTTTCCATAGGGGGCCGCACCCGGAGCCTTCGACCTAAAGGTCTGATCCACAAGGCAATGGAGCAACGTCAGGAGATGCAGTCCCATAGTAGCCAGTGACCAACAATTGGTTCATACGCCACTTGTTCCCTCAGTACCCTGGGGGCCATGCACACCATCGGTTTGGAATCAGGGTTTTTCAACTTCACTAGGTGAACCCTCCGTGTCCACCAACCCGGTTAAAGCGACAGGCATTCGCTTTTCGTCCTCTCAATTTCGTAAACAACACTAATGCCACGAGTAGGCAGTGAGTAGGACTTCCTTGGCAGTGACTGTATACGCGTGGGATTCATAAATCTATGTCGTTATAGTGTTATTTAGGTGAAAATGATTGATTAGTAGTGGTTGACTGTTATTACCACTGGGAAGGATAGTATATGTGGTTGAATCATACCGTACTCAACTCAATGGACCAACTTTTTTAGGTTGTATAGTTTAAATTAATTTGAATATAATACTTGGCTGATCTATCTTTTATACCGTCACACTCAAACTAATATTCCATTTACGGACATTCAAAATGTTCAACTCCAGTTCCAAATGGTCATAAGTAAGGCCAAAGGAAAAATATTATTGGAGTCTAACAGTAGAAACTAGGTCTTTCCACTCTTCCTGGATTCTAAAAGCATTATTCTTTCTCTAGGTTAATTACTGTTTGCGTTTCATTTTCTGATTGTATGTGGATTAGGGGGGTCCTTACAAATGTGTATTAAAAAGTCCTCTGGAAATGTATTCGTAAGAAAATAAAACATTTGCACTATGGTTCCAAAGATTAATTAGTTAAGATATTTGTAAGAAAGCTCAATTTCAGTAGTTCGTAATAAAATTAAATATCCAATTCATAAAAAATTGGCTTTTTAGATGGATTGACATAAATCTACTCTATACTGTCCGTATGCTTTATCTGTCTACACAACTAAAAAACAAAGTATGCAAATGGTATTATTAAACAGTTTTATTCTCTCGTTATTGCCTCATCATATGAGCTAAAGTCATCATTTCTAGCCACTTCTTAACTCAGTCTTCATTTTCAAAGATAGGAGGTCAAGAAACCTATATTAATCCTCGCAATTTGTATTGCTCTAAAGATTCAACCACAAATTCGGATATGTCGACATGTGTTGATATTGCGTGTTCTAAGAGATTTTAGCCGATTTGGAGTTTGGTTGGAGGAAAGCTTTATGGAGCCAAAACAAAGTGTAGCATCTGTCCATAAAGTCATTGACTTTAAGATTAAACTGTATTAGTTATTACAGATTACATGGTTAAGTTTCATACGGTCATTGAAATTAATGGTTCAAGACGGATACGGTGTGGGAACTTAAACCAATGACCATATTTCCCAGATCTTACGTTGTTCGTAACTAACTGAATGAGCTACCGCTTCCTCAGCAGCCAAAATATACACGTCTAATCCGTATATAAAGTTCTAAACCGTTTACTCCGTTAAGCTCTTATAACGTAACCTCATGCTGACTATAGTCTGTTGGGTGTGTTGCTGCATATAATTTTAAGTTTATTTGGCTTCTGTTCAAACTTTTATCAGGTGTGTATAAACTCAAACCAACTTATCGAAAAGGTGGCGACTTCAGTTTCAGCCTTTGTTGAAGCTATGCATCGTGATAGCTGTTCATCTAACAATAATGGCGAAGTTCGTGGTGCAATTAACTTGGAGTTTATGGTTCACAGAAAAGGGGTTTGGTTGGGACCAGAAGCCTCGACTTGGGAACGTTGGATTGTAAATGTGATTTTGAAAACTGTCAGTGCAAATGGTAATCTAGATGTTTTTGAACATTTTTATTTTATCTCCTCTAATTCAGTGGGTGTTGATATGTTCAATCAGTGGTTTAGTCACTATACTATTACTCACTAATCCTCGAGTTCGTATCGTTTTCATATTATGGAAATGTGGGCAACTTGAGTATATCGTCAGTTCGTACATTCCAAGTGCCTCACATCAGTATTCACTGGTTTACGCTTACCAGGATACTTGACATAATTTCAGTTGGATATAAACCTGTATCAATTTCGGTCTAAACGATGGTATTTGTCATAAAAAAGATATTTATTATGTTTCTGAAACGTGAATACTTATATGTTCATTACGTAGAACCACTAAATCGTTTATTTTATTTATTTATTTATTTAAACACATAAATATTGGTACAATGAAGCACCAGATAAATGTGCGCCTCACAGATCTCATTCGATTTGTGTGAGGGCTGTGATACTGCCCAGGTGCCCAGACTGAAGCAGGTGGTTTTCTTAGGGGGCCACACCCGGAGCCTTTGACCTGAATGTCTGATCCACAAGGCAGTGGGGCATCGTGAGGAGATGCAGTCCCATGGTAGCCGTTGACCAATGACAGGTTCATCCGCCATTCGTTCCATCAGGATACTGGAGCCCATGTGCACCATTGGTTTGGAATCAGGGTTTTCCAACTCCCCTAGGTGGACCCTCCGTGTCCACCAACCTGGTTAAAGCGCCGGACATTCGCTTTTCGTCCTCTCACTTTCGTAAACAACACCCCCGCCACGAGAAGGCAGTGAGTAGGACTTCCCTGGCAGAGGCTATATATTCGCTGGCTATATGAGAGTATTTCGAAAGGGAGAGGTGACTCTCCCCACTCTCGGCCGTACCGGGGCATTTGGGGGCACCACTAAATCGCGATAAATGTCGTGGTAGAATTGTTAGAAATTCCACTCTGATAAACCTATATTGGAGATCGTCTGCTATAGTTTTACTATTGGTGATTGTTTTGGATTGTGGCGGTTGTGTTTTGCAGTTGCCAATTCATTTGAGTTACAACGTGGCGAAATTTGTGCTCAATGTTGGGTGATTTTCATGTGTGAAGTTGTATTAAAAGTCATTAATCTAGGATACTAATTGAGAAAAGAATCCCACTCAAGTACATAAATTTGTTAGGTTTTTGAGTTTTGATCTTAAGGAACTTCGGACTTGTTGCTTTATGTTGGTTTTATAATTACTTGCCCTGTTTTCTTTCGATGGATCAAGAACAGAAATGAACTAAATAGTTTGAATCCATTTTATTTAGGGTTTTTATCAACTGCTTACGTGAAGAATAGGGTTTTGTCTGTATAGTATATTTAGATGGATATTTCAGGAACATAAAAGAGAGCTGAAGAGGAGATAAAGGTAATAGGTGTCTAGAATAAGACATATGTGTCTAAGCTACGTGAAGAATGTATGATGTCAGGGGATTTTCGTCTGCTTGGATGAGACTAGAAGACGAGTATGAGGATTTGCAGTGAGTGCAAAAAGCTTATAATTTGGTTTTATTGTTATAAAAATGCAATTACTTTGATAACAATATAACAGTTTCTTGTAGAATGCATAGAACATTCTTAAATATTACAAAAGCAGTCACTTTTTCAAGAAGCAATGAATTTACATTCACTTGTAGTTACTGGTTATCTGAAATAGTTTCAAAGGATTGTTATGCGTTCTATCAAGAAGCCGGCACATACATGGATGATATTAAATAATGTTGACTTAATATCTTTAGTGGGCGGTTCGGTACAACGTTATTAGTCTAGGAGTTGAAAATTTTTAAGTTTTCACTCAATTACATAGTGTTTCACTTTCTTGTTTTGCGGGATTTATCATTTATGATTCTTTTCATCGATTGTCTATTAATAAATATTGTTTTAAACTGATTGTTTACCTCAGAAAAAGAGGATCATCGTCGTCAAATCAGCAATCAACTGAGAGATGAATTATGCAACATTCTTGAACACTTCAACTCTCCTTCAGCTTATGCTCCATCTTTAGGTAGCTCACAAGCGGAAACAGAACACATCATTGACTTTTCTATGTGTGGAATTTCACCCTATCGGTTTAATATAAATTATCTTGCTAATTCATGTCAAAGTCGTTCCGGAGTAAGTGTGACCATGAGGCGTATATTTAAAGATGCTAGACTTTGATATACATTTTTATTTTCATATTTTATGTATTATCAATAATATGTACTTAATTTTGATACCGATATTGGACTATCAGTCGTAAGCGATTTGGCATTTATATAAATTATTGGGAATCAGTTCCTTATTTCTTAACTCTTGTTTTTATTTTTCTCTGTTTATTACTTGAAGTTGCATATTAGTATTTCTTTAATGCTGATTGCTGTTTTGTTATGACTTTAATTAATTTTCATTTAAATTGCAATGAACCAGTTGCAAATGCAAGTTTGACTTGTATTATGTGATTCACTTAATGTAGGATCACCAATCCCTTGGTTTAGAAAGAATTCTGTAATTTGTGTAATTTTAGTAGCTGTTAAATCAACATCTATCACCTATTCTTATAATACCAAACGAAAAGTTTCACCAAGATAATTGACCTTCGACACTGTTTATCAGGGAACCTCCAATTGTATAAGCATTATGGATTCTAACAGGGTGTTTAGGTTTTGTTCCTGTCTCAGGCTAAAGTCAACAATTTGACATTTAGACGAGTTAATCGTAAGGCCATTCAATATGAGACAAAAGCTCATTAATTTTTTAGGGGATGTAAAGATGTAGAAATCGGCATACATACACTGATATCGTCCTCAAATTTAACAAAAGTGAACTATCAGTTTGTAAGATGCGAACTCAATGAGCGTCTGCCTGGTGCATGTACCGAAGTGGAATATTCTTTTAAAAAGACATCGTAAATTGCACAATATAGGTTTGTATGACAGTTCCCAATTAACTCAAATAATTGGTTATCTAATACATCTCCCCTAACTTTATTAAGCTTAACGATCGAGGTTTATGTTTCAAGTTACTTTATTGTACTAATTTAACTTTTTACGTCAAATTAGAAACGCATTAAAAATTGTAAAAGAAATATTCGTAACAACAATGGGTTATTTGAGTGTCTAGCATTTCTGGTCCTGTTACTGTGTGTGATAATTAGGAATATTTGAAATAAAGTATAAACTAGGAATCTCAGAAATAACGCAATTCCATCAATGAGTGCAAGATAAACACGAACGAATGTATTGTATTTGGAATTCAAAATCAAGTACAAAGGAATCATTGATTCATATAAACACCACATCCGCCACAGCTTAAATTGGAGTCTAAGTGTCTGTAATCGGTCATACGTCTTCTTAAGTCCATCCTGTGTCTGTCCGACAGTGTATTGAATAAAGACTCTGTATTATTTAGAATGAACTCATTTGTATTAGAATTAACAACCGAAATTAGAACATCCTCACCTGATTCCTGGAATTGCATACAATCATCATATCAGTTGTGTAGTGAAACAACTGATTTCTAGAATTTGCATCATGGACTTCCCAACAATATCCTCTCCTACGAAATAATGTTGGGTCCTTACGTCGCAATGTTATAACGAATTTGACGTTCCTAATTTGCATTATCTTCTTACATCTCATACATCGATTATTATACGTGAGTATTGGGGAATACACACTGACACGTAATTCGAGGCATTCCATCATATGACTTTGACTTGCACAAAAATTATGATGCATACTCTTTGTTATTCATATCGGAATACACAGATATATATGCATGGATGTGTGTAATTAACACGTGTGATTCATCTAGGCTTGATTCACCTGCAAAACAATCGAATGGAAAACATGCATCTGCCTCATACTCATCAGGATAATCTTGGACTTGATTTGGATATTCTGCCCGTGAAAACGTTATATCTGGGCGAGCTGGTTCTCTGATTGCTTCGGGGAAACTTACTGTTCTCTCTGATTTATCAAACCACTGACTAGGGACTCTACACGACACATTGATTTAGAGAATATCCAGCATCTGATACAATAACATCAGAAATGTGACTAGAATTCGACTCATTCGAAACATATTTGTCACACTTATTGGGAATATCTCTAGAGATAAATCCAATGTGACGACGAATAGCATTTGATATGACATCAATATTTGGTTTTTCTGAAATATTTCCCTATAGTTTATTAAGAATTTCATTAAAGAATGGATCATTAGAAAAATCAGCATCTATCAAAACTACATCCGGTTTTTGATCATGATTTGACTCATTCAGCATACTATTCTCAGAGTTATAAGGAATTTCATCAGAAATATGTGGATCAATATGACAAACCACATCAAGTACAGTAACACGAGAAATCTGATAAGAAGTTGGCTTAAAAAAATTTCTCACAATGATTCCGGGTTTCATTCAATTCTGAAATGCTATATGACGTTATACCGCTTCTTGAAGTCTTGAATAAAGATAATTGATCATTAGAAACATCCAACTTAGTAGGATCACAATCGCAAATTTTAGCATTAGTTTCAGCGGAATGAATTGTGGTATTACAAACTGACTGAATATATCCAGTTTTGCCACATTTAAGGCATTCAGAATTACGATATCCACTTGAATTACATAAGTGAAACTTGCCACAGAACGAGCATTTACCAAACTTGTGCTCATCTTCGTGAGCTAATGCACAACTCAATGGATTATCTGAATAACCTTCATTACGTAGTGGACTACGACGTAGTAAATTAGTAGAATTTCTGATGTCCTGGAGAATTATTTCATTGAATTTTTCTCCTTCACCACATTCGAAATGTGCATTCTTCACATGGTCCAAAAGTAGTTGCTTGAGAGTTGCATAAGGGAGTGTAACCGTCCACGATTAAGCATTTGCTAACTTTTAACGGCCTCGTAAGTTTCTACAGACGGTTCATACCAAATTGTGCGTTCCTTATGAAACCGCTAACCGACCAACTTCGTGAAAATGCAAAATCAATTAGTTTAGACGACACCGCTCGAAAAGCATTCTCCACAGTTAAGGAACATATCGCCAAGGCAATCCTGATTGCACATCAGGACATTCAAGCGCCCATTAGTATCGCTGTAGACGCATCCGACTCAGCAATCGGAGGAGTCTTAAAACACTGGGTTAACAATTCATGGCAACCTTTAGGATTTTTCTCGAGACGGTTGCTAGACGCGGAATCTAGGTACAGCACGTTCGGTAGGGAACTCCTAGCTATATATTGTGCTGTACGGCATTTCCAACATTCCACCGAGGGAAGAGAATTCACGCTTTTTACCGATCATAAACCTCTTACCTTCTCTTTAAATTCATCTTCAGATAAGTATTCACTCCGCGAGTCTCGACAACTGGACTGCATTTCGCATTTTACTTCATATATACAACACATTTCTGGAGCAAACAATGTAGTCGCAGACGCCTTGTCTCGAATAAGTTCCTTGAACAGTTTCCAAGGAATCGACCTTCTTAAACTCTCTCAGCTTCAAAAAGAAGAAATTGATCTTCAGCATGAGTTATCCTCGACAACTCTTAAACTATGTATTAAGCAGATGGGAACAGGTAAGGGAAACTTACTATTGTGACACATCTACAGGTAGGGACCGCCCAATCGTTCCAAAACATTATCGACGCAACGTCTTCAATACGTTGCACAATCTTTCTTATCCAGGTGTTCCTGCATCCATCAACCTAATAGCCGAACGGTTTCGCTGGCCTGGCATGAATAAAGACGTGGGAGAGTGGGCACGCTCCTGTGTAAGCTGCCAGAAATCTAAGGTCACTAGACACAACAAATGTACGCATATTAGTGAAAAAAAATTTTTTGAATAAATATATAAGTATGAGCATATTCAATTTTCTGTTATAATATATAATTCAAAGGAAGATAGAGAAAAAGTTTGTGTCTTACGTGTAACAGACCTTCAAAGATTCCGGAAATCTTACTTTTCTTCCAGAACGCGTTGTCTTAAGTTTATTTTGAGACGCTGATGGAGTATCAACGTGCGTATCGGCTGTCGTGTGGCGTACTACGAGTGCAGGAGCCGTGTCGTTCGAATGTACTGAAGGAAAACCGACGTAGCTAGGGTTTCATTCTAAGTACGCTGCTTTCAGGTGATCGATGCTGATGCTATCGTTCGTGCCGTTCTTATCGACCACATAGTACTTGAATTCACGTGGAAGAACTTTGAAGGGTCCTTCGTATGCTGATTCTAGAGGTCGTCGATGTGAGTCTTGACGAACGAAGACGTGTGTATTATGTCGTAATTCAGGTTGAACGAAAACATCAGTTGATTGAGGTCGAGTGTGAGCAGGTTTAACTGAACCCATAGCGTTTGTAAGCCTACTCGTGTAAGAGTTTAGATCCATGTTCAGTGACGAAGCCGAAGGATCCAAAAATTCTCCTGGAAGTGTCGTTCCATAAACGAGTTGAGATGCCGTGTATCCAATATCAGCTCTCACTGCATCGCGAATACCTAGTAAGACGAATGAAATAGCATCGGTCCACCGTAAAACATTTGCAGCTGATAGTGAAGCTTTAAGTTGTCGATGAAAACGTTCTACCAACCCGTTTGCTTGTGGGTGGTAGGCGGTCGTTCGAAAGCGACTGATTCCTAATAGTGCGGTCAGACAACGGAAAAGTCCAGATTCGAACTGGCGTCCGCGGTCTGTAGTGATGGTTGAAGGGCAGCCGAAATGTGCTACCCATCGTTCGACGAAGGCACGGGCCACTGTTTTGGCAGTAATGTCCCTAATAGGTACTCCTTCTGGCCATCGTGTGAAACGGTTTACACATGTTAAGAGATATGAATATCCGTTTGAATCGGGTAACGGTCCTACCAAATCCAGATGAATATAGTCGAAACGAGCATCAGGGGTTTTGAAAGAGCCTAAGGGACATTTGTTGTGTCTAGTGACCTTAGATTTCTGGCTGAAGAATAACTGTCTCGGTATTGTTGACACGCAATATACTACATTTGAAATGAAAACAAAGGGATTTGGGAAATAAAAGTCCTAAATTTCATTATAAATACAAGCATACATTATTGCCTAAACAAATATTACCGCTCAGTTATTCAACTAACAATTGTCCCTCATTAATCTATGTAAATTACAATAAATAGACAAATTGATAAGGAATATAAGAAATCTACCGAACGCACCAAAAAATAAGTGTTATTTATCCTTTCTGGATAGATCAAGTAAAAATCCGTTCAGAAGGTAATTGTTTGTTGCTTTATAACACAAAGTTTCCAACCTCCAATGCAGTGAAACTACAAACCGGTTCTTGATGATTTTCTTTCCGAAAGTGGATTGTGTCACCTATTGAATATCAACGTGCTTAACAATGATTTATACAAAAAAGGTCCGTCATCTATCTAATTGACTGAAAAGCAAAGTGAAACCTTTGAAACTTTTCACGTCTATTTTATTTTATATTTATCTTAATATACGAAGTCTGCTTATGTTAGTATTCATAATTATTACTGTTCTTAATATCATTATTGGTCTCTCAACTTATTAGATATTCTTTTCATCTCTTCTTGTCCTCCTAAACATCCAAAGTCTACAACTAAAAACAAAAAAACCCTATGTTACACTTACACAAATAAACTCTCAGATTTTTTTAAATTTTAATCTTCACAACATACGTATAACACATAGAAATTTATATTTGATTATCCTTTGCAATTAATTGTGACTATGATAGCATCATTCTAAATTATTATTGCACTAATGTTTATACTAATATCCGGTTGTCACTCTGTATACTGTTACATAAATCTACATGTATTTATCCAAGTGTACTAAGTTTATTATTATTGTTGTTATTTTCTTTCTGATTTTCCTTTATTATTTATTTTATTTTTTAAATTATTCGTTTATCTCAAAAGTTTATATCCATTACATTATTATTATCATGGTTAGACCCTTTCACTATATGTTCATTTCTTTGCTCTCTCTCTTTTTTTTCTTCTAAATAAATATTATTCTTAAGATTACGAAGTTTTGAAATAAGACAATAACTTGTGTTACGCTGAATTCAACTTCTCAGACTCAGTTTATCTTTGCTAATCATATATACCTCACACATATTGATTATCTTTTGCAAATGTAATGCTAACATTATTGAAACTTGTGTATTATTGCATTTTTGAAGAAACCCGAAATGGTTTCTTCACAACACTTGTGTACCCATATGATGTTTGTAAATAATAATAATAACTCTGGAAAAGTGCTTCAATTCACAATCAAAATGCACGATCCCAGTCAACTCAAGCAAAACAATCAAAGAGGAAACAATCAATATGGCTGCCGCCATAATTAAATATCAACCAAAACAACTTAAATGCAGTTCAGGAAGAAACATAGAAGCTCAGTGAAAGCGAAAGAAAAGTGAGGAAACCATCATAAAATGAAATATTACAATCTCAAATGGCACCAAAAAGACTAACGAAATGTACAACAAAAGAAACCAATGAGAAAAAGCTGCAAATGCATGCATGGAGAGTTTTTCACACACAAAACCTTCGAAATGGATCTTACACCCACTATGACGAAAATATATCATCATTATAATGTTTTGAACAGAACATGTTTAGCAGGGTGTGTCGCAACATATCCTTTGAAATTTATACATATGCAAAAGTGTATAGATTTCAACTGATTGGACATGGTTTTCAAAGTTACTGAGAGCAGATACTGCTAATTATAAACGATATACTTTCTTCTACCCGACTTTAATTCAAATACATCAAGATAAGGAATCGTAGGCAGACTGTTACAGTGATTGAAACACTCATGAAAAGGTCAACCAGTTCACTTTTTCTGTTCAGGGTGTGGTAGACAAAAAATCAGTGTCAGTAATCCTCAAGCATTAATAATATTATCATTCTATACCCTGAGTTCAGATGTAAGTCAGTTATCCATCAATCAAACGAAACTTCAGAGATTCCAGATATAGAGTATAGTATCCTGAAGATTTGCCCGCCATGCTTACTGAACCGCTTTTCTAGAAAAATCTAGACTATCGTTTAAATTGAGGCTACAGTTGCATTTGAAAAACTGCAGGGTAATCGATTTGAATTTGTTGATGCATATGTAGTGGATGTCGAGTCGAAGACGGACTATGATCACCACTACAATTCGTTTACGCGCTCAAAAACGACTTGGTTCCTTCAACAGCTCGTAAATCAGAAGACTTTATTAATCCAGATCAAGTATATTTATTGGCGATCTCGTGGTATCGAAATAATACCGAGACGTGCCAAAGAGTACAGGCGAAATGAGCAGTGCGTGAGCAAGTTCGAACCAAACAAGGCGAAGAGCGAAAGCAGAAGTGAAACTGATACAGTTAAACAATCTCTGGTACAATTGGTTACAATAATAATAATTGTTTCCGTTATTCCAATCATGTTCTTATCGAGACTGGCCGGTCACTACACATACACAGAAAAGTTTCAAAGTGTAGTTCTTATAGAATATATTCGAAACATAGGTAGCTTTCGACAACTAAACAGTCTTATAAAGGGCTAGTATATTCAGAAGTTAAACAAGGACATTTGTCCAATCGCTTTTATCACAGTTTGATCCAGAAACCAGAGACAGTAACGTTGTATCGATAGAAATGCTAGTATTCGGTTTGAACACAGAACTAACAAATTGAAAATTTTTCGGTAACAATGGACTATATTCCTCTGTATAGCGCATGAAACATCTTTGAGTGACTCGTATTAAATTATATCAAAACACAAACTGTGTTTAATTTAAAGGGTTCTGTATAAGTGAATAATTTTCATCGAATGTACAAAATACCTCAAACCGTACAGCTTGTTATAAAATCAAGGGTCTCTTTAGCACAAACCAACGTGCTTGAAAACAGTAGGGTAGTTGATAAACAAGGGTTCGATACCTGAGAATCAATAAAATTATTCTCAGCAGTTTGGGATCAGATATCTATCTTCAGGAATTCCAGAAACCTTCCCAAGAAGACAGTCAATGTTTAATAGTCATACAATGAACCACTCCGTGACCGCGAGCTTAATCAATCACAATCTTATTGTCAATTGCTCGGCAACACGTGGCAGTAAATTATGTAACAAAAACATATCTTTAACCAGGATCAAATGACAAAAGCCGCAAAGAGGAAGAGTGAGGAACATAGTGTGGTTAACAAGAGACCTGAATAAAAGTTAAAATACGAGAAAGGAGAAGAGACAAATAAGTGACAGTACTGTCCAACGAAATGCTGTGAAGGGATTTCCAGCGTCTTCTTTCCGTGGTGTATAACAGTAAAATTATATGACCCTTGAAATGATATCTCTAAACCACAATCGGAACCAGAAAATCCACAGTGCGGTCAAGATATCACAAATCTTCCCTGAAGGACCGTGTAGAATTTGATTTTTTCAATATAAAATGATATTAAAAATAAAATGTTGAAATAAAAAACATATTTAAGTCCACTGAAACACCAAACATTGAAATTAAAATACAAATTAAACGAAATGGAACTACGGAAGAAACTTTAATCATTATGGGTTATAAGTATATAAGAAATGGCTTCTCTCTGTTATTAGCGACTTATGTTGGCTGTAAAGTAAGATAATTCCAGTAATTTGTGATATACAGATCATTAATAACTGAGGCATTAGCCATCCGGATGAAGAAACTGGAGCTATGTGTACAGGAGAAGTACCTCCAACACCTCCTCCTCTCCTGGCCAACCCAAGGCCAAATAATCACTGATAATCCTAGCTATTGAATGACCTGATTTGACTATTTTACTTTCGACCTTTCGTAGTCAAATGCAATTGTCTCTCTTATCTTTATTCACAAATCTTTTATTATTATTTTTTAAAAATCACTATTAATAATCCCCTTTACATGTTTCATTCACTTCGCACTCATCCCTATTTATTACGTCTTAAATTTTTCACACAATTTAATCTTCCACTTGATCGAATTGTAATTGCACAATAATATTTCTTACCCTATCTGACCCATATTTATTCCGATCACAGATCTTAAATTTTCACTTAACATATATACGGATTCAAGTTAACATTCTATTTGAGTTATATCAATAATAATAATTATATATATTTTGATTTCATGGTGGTTATTTTTATCACGTTATTCTTTGAAATTTTCGTTTGATTCCATGTCTTTAATGAACTGCTGAATCTCACGAGCCTTTTCCAAAAACATGAAAAAGAACGAGTTCTGCCATACTATAAGCAATAAGAGCAGTTCGGACAATGTCGAAAGAAGTGGAGATCATTGAAAGATTGTCAACGGTAGTCTTTGATTTAATTTGAAAACTACTGTTTACGTAGGTCCCTGAGTATCGTTGGGAGATTTTGTATTTGGCTGAACGTTTACCCATCCTAAAACCTGTATTCACCACATCGTTGTGCTTATTAGCAAACCTCAAGTGCTCCATTAGTGATTTCGGTCTTTTAATGGAGTTCAATACTATACTCCTTTACATATGTGTGTTTTTCAATCAATAAGTCCTTAATTTTTCAAGTTTTCCAAACCATTATAATAAAATATATTCTTTCTTATAATTGCGAACTATTTCTTACCATCAGGCTTTCTGGGTGGTCAGTTCTTGTAAGCCAATAATTCCTAAACTTGTGTGGGTATAACGAGTTATTCATGAAACACTATAATATGTGGTACACGAGTGCTTGCAGTCTCAAAAATAAAGCATCCAAGATAACTTCGATGGTGAGTTATCTGAGACTGCTATGTCAGGAGACTGGTTGATCGATGCAGATGGATCTATAGAAGACGAGTTTGATGAGTTAAAGCCACATTCGAGTGCGTAAAATTACCGTTTATCCCATGATTAACACGTAGGCTATCACATTTCCCTTCATGGATTAACAAAGAAACCCGAAAACTGTTGAAACACAGGGAACACTTCTAGGACTTATTATTGTTAACGGGACGTGAATCATTCAAGTGTGAATGCTGAGAAATCCGGAATATACGTAAAAAGACCACAGCTAGATGCCATACTATTCACGAAAGACAGTATGCATATGACAGCCATACGTGCCAGATGTTACTAGCTAAATCAAATGTGACTGAGTATTGTAAAAATACTTGTCATAATCACACTACTGAGATACCAGCTATGGAACATGTGCATGTGAATGAGGAAACTGTTCTTCAATTGATTACTAACCTCAAATTCAGTAAGATACTGGACCCTGATTGGTTAAATCCACGGTTGCTGTCTTCTCTCGCGGACCACTCGTGCTGTACAAGAATGGATACGAAACTTCTTATGTGGCCGCAGGCTGAGTGGGAATAAATGGGACGTCATCTGAATGAAAGCCGGTCAAAAGTGATTTACCCCCAAGTACCACCTAAGTCCCCCTACTGTCCTTTATCTACACATGTCAACGCAGCAGATGCCAAAGGGTTTCTTGCGTTATGGTCACTTCACCGAGCATTCGAATGCCTTGACGAGATGTATCAGACTTTACATATCACACTTAGAATGCTGTATCCAAGCGGCTGTCCCATGTCTAATCAGGGATACTAACTCACTTGATTGTGCTCAGTGTATAGTGATGATGCAACGGATATTCTAGTTTTTCAACTAGATACCAGTAGCACCTTCTAAATTCGGTTGTTACCAGTCAGATAGAAATCAGAAGTCGGACGAGAATAGGCAGGAAAGATATATTTGATTCGTTACCAATATATCGAGGACTTTTTCTATGAGCTGGCTAATGAAACGTAGGAGCTGTGTCCCACGCAGTATTGAAACGTGATCTGGTGCGGATGCATGACCGAAAGCCTTCAGCTAAACAAGTCCACTTAAACAACGTGGTCAGCATCCAATGTCGAACACTTAATGAGCTATTGATTTTGGGGAATTATTTACAGCTACAGATCACTCCCCCCCTAGTGAGGTAGTGATGCCCCTAAGACGTGACCAGCCAGAAGTTTAAACCCAACGAATTTGTCGTTGGTAAACACTCTTCTGATAGCTTGCTTCGTTTAGCAGCGTCTGGTCGTCTTTCCTCAAACTATGGGACCAAAATGTACAACGTAGCAATAAAGAAATATAGTACAATGAAAATTTCTGTTCCTTGCGAAACTTCGTCGTTCTTTTCCAGCCGTCCTGGAAAAGAGGAAAAATAAAACGTGTGAGTGCATGTCAAAAATACACTCGTACTTGCGTAAGGACACAAGATGAGCGGAAAAAAATAAACTGATACACTTACAAACAGCGTAAAAGCGATCGGAAAAAAGGTTTTCTTTTGGTTTTTTTTTCAATATATAAATATATATATATATACGCTCAAAAAAATGTTGTTTTTTTGTTTTTTTTACATAAATAAAAAAATGAGCATATTAAAAAAAATTTATAATAAACTTTGAAAGGGTAATTCAAGATAAAGCTTATGTCCTACGTGCAATATTCGTTAAGATGTTCTGGAAATCTTACTCGTCTTCCAGAACGCGTTGTTTTAGATTTTTCTATCGACGTTGACGAAGTATCAAGTTGTGTGTCGGTTGTTGTGTAGGGTACTACGAGTGTAGTAGCTGTGTCGTTTGCTTGTACCGAAGGAAAATCGACGTAGCTAGGGTTTCCTTCTAGGTACGCAGCTTTGAGTCGATCGATACTGATGCTATCTTTCGTACCGTTCTTGTCGACTACATAGTACTTAGGTTCGCGTTGAAGAACTTTGAAGGGTCCTTCGTATGCTGATTCGAGGGGTCGTCGATGTGAGTCTCGACGAACGAAGACGTGTGTACTATGTCGTAGTTCGGGTTGAACGAAAACATCAGTTGATTGAGGTCGAGTGTGAGCAGGTTTAACTGAACGCATAGCGTTTGTAAGCCTACTCGTGTAAGAGTTTAGATCCATGTTCAATGAAGAAGCTGAAGGATCCACGAATTCTCCTGGGAGTCGGAGTGTCGTTCCGTAAACGAGTTGAGATGCCGTGTATCCAATGTCAGCTTTCACTGCATTGCGGATACCTAGCAAGACGAGTGGAAGAGCGTCTGTCCACTGTGAAACGTTTGAAGCTGATAATGAAGCTTTTAATTGTCGATGAAAACGTTCTACCAACCCGTTTGCTTGTGGGTGGTAGGCGGTAGTTCGGAAGCGCGTGATTCCTAAAAGTGTGGTCAGACAACGGAAAAGTCCAGATTCGAACTGGCGTCCGCGGTCTGTAGTGATGGTTGAAGGGCAGCCGAAATTTGCTACCCATCGTTCGACGAAAGTGCGAGCCACTGTTTCAGCAGTAATGTCCTTAATCGGTACTGCTTCTGGCCATCGAGTAAAACGGTCTACGCATGTTAGGAGATATGAGTATCCGTTCGAGTCGGGTAAGGGTCCTACCAAATCTAGATGGACGTGGTCGAAACGAGCGTCAGGGGTTTTGAAAGAACCTAAGGGACATTTGTTGTGTCTGATTACCTTAGATTTCTGACAGCTTACACAGGAGCGTGACCACTCCCTCACGTCTTTATTCATGCCAGGCCAACAAAAGCGTTCGGCTATAAGTTCGATTGTTGCACGAGCACCTGGATGAGAAAGATTGTGCAACGTATTGAAGACGTTGCGGCGATAGTGTTTTGGTACAATTGGACGATCCCTACCTGTAGATGTGTCACAGAGTAAGGTTTCCTTACCTGTTCCCATCTGCCTAATACTTAGTTTAAGAGTTGTCGAGGATAACTCATGCTGAAGATCAATGTCTTCTTTTTGAAGCTGAGCGAGTTTAAGAAGGTCGATTCCTTGGAAACTGTTCAAGGAGCTAATTCGAGACAAGGCGTCTGCGACTACATTGTTTGCTCCAGAAATATGTTGTATGTCTGAAGTAAACTGCGAAATGTAGTCGAGTTGTCGAGACTCTCTTGGTGAGTACTTGTCTGAAGATGAACTTAAAGAGAAGGTAAGAGGTTTGTGATCGGTAAAGAGCGTGAATTCTCTTCCTTCGATGGAATGTTGAAAATGCCGTACAGCACAATACATAGCTAGGAGTTCCCTACCGAACGTGCTGTACCTAGATTCAGCGTCTAGCAACCGTCTCGAGAAAAATCCTAAAGGTTGCCACGAGTTGTTAACCCATTGTTGTAAGACTGCTCCGATTGCTGAGTCGGATGCGTCTACGGCGATACTAATGGGCGCTTGACTGTCCTGATGAGCAAGCAAGGTTGCTTTAGCGATGTGTTCCTTAACTGTGGAAAATGCTTTACGGGCTGTGTCGTCTAAACTAATTGATTTCGCATTTCCACGAAGCTGATCGGTCAACGGTTTCATTAGGGATGCGCATTTAGGTATGAACCGTCTATAGAAACTTACGAATCCGTTGAAAGTTCGTAACTGCTTGATCGTGGTCGGTTCTGGGTAATCCAGAATGGCCGCCACTTTGCTCCTAAGGGGTCGGATGCCTTGGGCATCAATGGTGTGTCCTAAGAAGTCTAAGCAGTTAGTTCCGATTTGGCATTTCTGAATGTTGACAGTAATGCCATGCCTTTGAAGTCGATCGAAAACAATGTCCAGATGCTTGAGATGCGATTCTCTGTCCGGACTTGCTATTAGACAGTCATCAACATACGCATGTACGAAGTTGAGACCTCGGAAGACGTCGTCTATAAACCTTTGGAAGGTTTGAGCCGCGTTTCTTAAACCAAAAGGCATTCGTAGAAATTCGTAAAGACCGAAGGGAGTGATGATGGCGGTTTTAGGAATGTCGTCAGGTGCCATCGGGATTTGGTTATAAGCTTTAACCAAGTCGATTTTCGAAAAGACAGTTGTACCTTTCAAGGTAGCTGTCAAATCGTGAATATGAGGCAGCGGGTAACGATCGGGAATGGTTTTAGCATTCAGACGCCGATAATCACCAGTTGGCCGCCAATCATTGCTGTCCTTTTTAGGGACCATATGCAATGGGGATGCCCATGGACTATTCGATGGTCGAATTATTCCTAGGTCCATCATGTGGTTGAATTCGTTTTTAGCTAACCTAAGTTTTTCGAGAGCGAGTCTTCGGGCTTTCGAAAATACAGGTGGTCCTGTAGTCGAGATGTGATGTGTAACATTGCTGGTTACACAAGGTAATTTCGATTGCGATTGGTATATCCCGGGGTATTTGTCGAGTACTGCTTGGTACAAGGGGTCTATGGCGTGCTTAATCGTGACTGGGGATAACCTGCAACCAGAACAAGGAGTTACGCAAACGGACAACTTAGTGTTTCCGTCTACTAACCTTCGTGAGCGTGTGTCGATGAGTAGATTGTGGTGTTGTAACAGGTCAATACCAATGATTGGCATAGAGACATCTGCAACCACGAAAATCCAGTGTATGGGTTTACGTAAACCCACGTTAAGGTAGACGTACCTTTTACCGTAAGTAGCGATCGGTTTTCCGTTTGCCGCCTGTAAACTTAAAACAGACTCGCGAAGTCTGTCGTCGAGATTTGCTGGAAGAACGCTAACTTCTGCGCCAGTGTCGACGAGGTAGCGAACTTTCGTAGTCACATCCGTGACATATAAGAGGCGGCTGTGTTCGCCGGCTACGGTTGCCGTTAACGCGTGCCGGCTGGGAAGTTTCCCGAACTGTTTTTCGTGTCACTAGATTTTGGGGTCGGATAATTACAAGGTTTCCTGCAGTTTCTGGAAAACTTACCGTACTGGTTATGATACCAGCACCAGTCGGGATTGTCTGTCTCTCGTGGTCGAGAGCCAGATCGCTTACGTGAGGCGCTTCTACGCGGGGTTTTTGACCGACTACGGTCATTGCGAACTCTAAGATATCGTGTAAGCGTGTGACATAGTTCGGCCATGTCAGTCGAGGTCGATTGGGGTTTTTCTTTGACGGAAAAAACCTCGGCCTTAGAAGATCTAGTGATTTCCAAGATTCGATCGGCAGATGCAGCTAGTTCATCTATGGCATTGTTTTGAAATGAGACAAGCACTGCCTGCACCTGTTGAGGGAGTTTAGACAAGAAAAGTTGTCTAAATAGGCCATCATCGAAAGTTCGTTGGCCGATGACTTCTTTCATTCTAAGCAACATGTCCGTCGCAGAACCATGTTGCAAGTCGATATTTTTAAGGAGTTGGTCTAACCGTTGTCGATCAGTTAGGTCTCCTCGTTTTAAAATCGATAGCTTAAGCGATTCGTAAGGTTCGGAAACATCACTAGTAAACATACTAGGTGTTACGTACCTGTTAAACTCGCGCGGTAACGCCTTAACTACCGCGAGGAAACGTGTGCGCGAGTCCGTGATTCCGTGCATGCAAAAATCGGCTTCTGCATAGCAGAACCAGGACTCGATATTGTCGGGCCAAAATGGCGTTAACTGAATCGAAATAGGGGGAATAGACTTGAACTTAATAACCTTGGGTGAGTGTTCCGTCATAGTAATATAGATATCGAAAAATGTCTAAGTAAAATATATCCGAGAAAAAAAATTCGCGAAAAAAGTATATCACAATATATAAAATTCAAATAAAGAATAACAATGAATAATAATGTTCCAAAATGGAACAGACTCACAGTATATTGACTTGGTGTACCAGATCACGTCGGGCTCACCAATGATGATGCAACGGATATTCTAGTTTTTCAACTAGATACCAGTAGCACCTTCTAAATTCGGTTGTTACCAGTCAGATAGAAATCAGAAGTCGGACGAGAATAGGCAGGAAAGATATATTTGATTCGTTACCAATATATCGAGGACTTTTTCTATGAGCTGGCTAATGAAACGTAGGAGCTGTGTCCCACGCAGTATTGAAACGTGATCTGGTGCGGATGCATGACCGAAAGCCTTCAGCTAAACAAGTCCACTTAAACAACGTGGTCAGCATCCAATGTCGAACACTTAATGAGCTATTGATTTTGGGGAATTATTTACAGCTACAATAGGAACAAAATTGGTGAAAGTTCTTTCCAAACTCCTGTATGACGACCGCTCAAAACGCCTGAACCTCTTCCTCTTGTATCGTAGAACACACATTCTGTGTCTTAAATAACGACTTGAGTGTAAATATGTCTTATCTTTATGCTCCTTTCAGCACTAATAATCTTCGAGGTCATAGCAAGCAGGTTCGAAAACCGCGGTTTAATAAATATAAAGTGGGGTTCCAATTTTCTCATCGAGCGGTTAATGACTGGAAGCCTACCTGAACAAGTGGTATCTGTTCCATCAGTGAAAGTTCACAAGGAGAAGCTGGACCTTCACTGGAAAGCAAATTGTTGGGATTACCACAGATCTACCAACCTATTATCCTTATTACTGAAGCCTGAGTTAAGTTGCACATTCAAAGTAGTTTACTATTATTTGTTTTTCCTTTGCAAATATTATATGCTATTTCTATGAGCACATTACGAAATAAGTCAAATTAATAAAGTAATTCCTCATTACTTCGTTCTAGCCTTTTAGTTTTATTAAACTATTATCGTTCATATACCTAGGTTCTTGCCTGGAGGTATTGGTGATCCACTGCTACCAGACACGGAAGCCCGTTAAGCGAAAGCTTCTTCTATTCCGTCTTCAACCATTTGAACCATTTGAGTGCTGACCTGGTGCTCCGTAAACTGCAGAACCTAAAAAAAGACACTTCTCCTGGTCCGGACATGGTTCATTCCGCTGTATTGAGGGAAGCAACTTCAATCCTGGCGACACCACTTAGCGTGATGTTTGCACACTCGCTAAGCAGAGGCAAACTACCGGAAATATGGAAGCTGGCCCACATCACACCAATTTTCAAAGGAGGTCGACGCAGTGAACCCTCAAGCTACCGACCAGTGGCCCTTCTCTACATACCTTCAAAAATTATGGAATCCCTAGTATTCGACGGCATACTAGAACACTTATCATCCTCAAAGTTCTTCTCGCCTCAACAGCATGGTTTCAGAAAAGGTCATTCTTGTATGACCAACCTGCTGACTGCGGTGGATAGATGGACAACCATCCTTGATCGCAAGGGGAAGGTTGACGTCATCTACCTGGACTTCTCCAAAGCTTTTGATAGGGTCAACCACGCATGTCTTATCAAGAAGCTTGGACGATGGGGTATAAAACCCCCTCTAATTGACTGGCTCAATTCATACCTAGAAAACCGACATTTTAAGGTCAGGGTTAACTTCACTCTCTCTCAGGCTATGGAATGTCCTAGTGGGGTCCCCCAGGGTTCAATACTAGCACCTCTTCTCTTCTTGATTTATATTAACGATCTTCCTCAACAAGTTTCACCTGACTTATTGCTTTTTGCTGATGATGTGAAACTTTGGAGAGAGATACGTACTCACAATGATATACTAGTTCTGCAGGAGGATCTGACTCGACTTCAAAGTTGGACAGACGACAACGGACTTACCTTCAACACTTCAAAGTGCAAGGTAGTCCATCTGAGACATGTTGCAGACTATAGTTATAATTTAGGTAACTCACCTCTAGAAGTTTCCCAAGTTGAAAAAGATTTAGGAGTGTTGGTACCCTACGACTTGAAATCGTATGCGAACTGTGACAAAAACGCCTCTCAAGCAAACCTTGCACTGGTAACATTGAAGCGCATTTTTGGCCAGTTTGACGGTAGAACCTTCCACATAATCTTCAACAGTTTTATTCGTCCCCACTTAGAGTACGGAAACATAGTATTTCCTACCTCCCTCCAAAAGGATAAGGTCACTCTGGAACGTATACAACGTCGAGCCACGAAATCAGTTCGGGGTCTCAAATTCAAACCTTATGAAGAGCGCCTCAAATCACTTAACCTTTACCCGTTAGAGTATAGGCGTCTTAGAAGTGATCTTCTTATGACTTATAGTATCCTTAATACTTCTGGTAATCCCCTTAAACAACTTCTTAAGCTTAGTCATAACACTAACCTCAGAGGTAACACCCAGAAATTGGAGACCCTACATAGCAGAACAGACTGCAGACACAACTTCTACTCCGTTAGAGTTGTCAAGTGCTGGAATTCGCTGCCGACTGAGCTAGTCCAAGCGACCTCCCAGGAGTCCTTTAAGAGAAAACTTGACTTATTCTTAAAAACTAATGATAACATATTATTATGATTTACCAAATTCTTTTTTTCCCCTCTATTATCGTTCATATACCTAGGTTCTTGCCTGGAGGTATTGGTGATCCACTGCTACCAGACACGGAAGCCCGTTAAGCGAAAGCTTCTTCTATTCCGTCCTCAACCATTTGAACCATTTGAACTATTTGAAACAGAAGAAGGGGGAGGGACTTTCAGATCGAAGGTCGCGGTGATGTCACTAGATCCGAAATACGCGGACTTACCATGGATTGTAAGTTAATTATGTACTGGAATTCATTCCTGAACCTAGGCGCATGGACAACCAGATGTCTACGAGGCTGGAGAGCTCCCGGAAGCAGATCAAACGATGAAGGTGAGGTTTGCTACGTTTCTCACTTATTTTTAAGGAAACCGTCGAGGATACTATGTCAGCTAGAGAGATCGAAGTTGTTAAACTATCAGTATCAGAAGCACATAAACGTTTTGCTGGCTGCAAGGTCGATTCTTCAAATGTTGGTCAGTTCTTAAATGACACGTAAACTTACCTCTGTTGATAAGACTTTTCCGACTCAATATCTGGGAATGGTAAAATTGGATATGCAATAGAAATGGATCAGTATGATCTTGTAAGCTTCAAGAATTACTTTTATTCTTAGTTTTCTCCCGAGTCAAAGGATAAAGAATCACTTGTAAACAGGTTCCAGCGTCTGCAAACTGAGACACTTCAGTTGATTAGTGACATACAAGTTGTATCAGACCAAAATAATCTAAACCCAAAAGAACCTATTTCTACTGCTCATCTACTGTCGTGCGCAGAAATGTTATCTAAGAAGTTATCAACGATTAATCCTGCCGAATTATCTACAGTATGCTTGGACTCATCTGATACTGTTGGTCAAACGTTGCATAGGTAATATTATCATATGTAACTGAATAATCTATTTGGTATATCCTCCATTGCGAGCTTAAAATTTAAGTGATGTCATCCAAAGATTGGATAAGCCGCCATTGAATGCATACTTTTTGTTGCTAGCTAACTAAACGATTGGTTTGTTGGTTATTATCTGATTAGAAAGTTAGTTTAAACACCAGGCTTTAAGTCAGTATTTCACAAGCTCACACTATGCTCCACCTGTCTAGGGTTATGTTTCCAAATAATACATTCATTCGTCACAGCGCTTGGAACTATACATTGATACTGGGGCACATCGTCCTACCAAGCCATAAACTTGACCGTATGTCAGTTTTTAAGAATTAGTCTCAGCAAGATCTTGGTCGATTTCGTAAGAACCTCTGTTTTTTTAGACTTTTATTAATTAGAATAACTCCAACTACGAGATGGCAATATGCTTGGAGTGATTAAAATCTATGGGTCTTTTGTCATATAATGCTAGTTAAGTAATGCAAGTGATATCGTGGTAGTTATAGTCTATTATATCTTGCAGTCCTGTCTATTTGGATGCGTTTGTTTCCTGTTAGCATAACAGACTAATTTTTAAAAGGTCAAAATAGTGAAAATTGGTAAAATCCAATTATTGCTCTTCGGTATATAATTTCTAAGAAACTCTACACGTATTTAATCCTAATGCTATGGGTGAATTGGTTGTAGAGTCTTCTTTGCAACCATAAACCTACCACTGAACATTAGAATTTTAAGTTAAGGAACAACATGGAGTCTAACCCGTGATGAATTTAGTATAAACTTTCACTACAGTAAAGCGATGGTGTATGTATATCTCAACCAGTACATAATTTTTTTATTTACTCTCTGAAGAAGAGACTTAAACCAAGTTGCAAAGCGTCGGAACTTTAACTCTCATCTAATTACTACAGACTTATTGTTTTACTATCATGAAGGTTCAGTTCTCAGGATGATATTCGTAGTGTATCAACAGTCAATTGTTGGAAAAATTAGGTGACAAATTTCATTTGTGTCTTGATGTAAAAGCTGTTGGTGTACCTTATAATTCGAGCGCTAATTGGTTGTTGCACTTCGGGAAAAAATTATTTTGTAGACGTGGTCATCTACATAACTGGAAACTTATATGATCTAAATACTACGAGCATTCATTGAGAAGTACAGATTTTATATTGTCAATTTATTTTTTCATGATGACAAAAACAAGTATATCATTCAACCCCTTGTTCAAACTTCATGGATATTATTTATAATATAAATTATGGCTGCCTATCATATTAAACTTGCAAGTTTATCAGTCAATCTTTTAATTTCTAGTAAAATTTTGAGACAGATCGACGAGTTCAAACCGGAAAAACCAGCTTCTAGAAGTTCAAATAAGTCAAATCATTTAATCTACGAAATATATGATCGAAAGAGCTCTATCCAGCAATCAGACGCTGAAAAAGTAAGTAACTACACAGTTTCCTCTTGCTACTCAGTGGATATAGTTCAACTTGCTTCACATCCCCAATTGCCCTGGTTTGGTCGTGGGTTGGGAGAGTTATCTCTCCCCCTCAAAATGCTCTCACATGGCCATGCGTATACAGTCATTGACAGGGAAGTCCTGCTCACTGCATTTTCGCGGCGGTTTTTTCACGAAATTGAGAGGACAAAAAACGAGTTTACGGTGCTTTAATTAGGTTAGTGGATATGGATCTACCTCGGGAAGTCGGAAAACCCCGATTCCAGACCACTGGTGCACATGGATTCCAGGATCCTGACGGAATAAATGACGTATGAATCTATTGTTGGTCACCGGCTACCATGGGACTACATCTAACGTTGCTCCACTGCCCTTTGGATTAGACCTCTGGGTCAAAGGTTCGGGGCGTGGACCCCTAAGAAAACTACCTGCCTCTGTTCGGCGCCCGGACAATACCTCAACCCTCACACAAATCAAATGATTCCTGTGGCGCATATATACTTGGTGCCTCCTTGCACCAATATGTTTAGATAAATTAATCAGTTAAAGATTGAGAGTTTGGTAAATATAAGTATTTGGTCTTTCAGTTATTTGTGGATAAAAGCAATCATTTTTAACTGCAAATACCCTATCCGAAATTAGTTGTCCCCGATAACAAACAAACAGGCTATATATTTACCATTCACATTAAGGGCGATTCATTTAGTTAAATTTCGGTGATGTAATAGTTCTCACAACTATAAACTTGTTCAGCTTCAGAGTGTGTCTGATTTACTGAGTACTGCTTCTCATAATGATATTTAAGCCACATTCCCTATGTAACTTACGCCTGTTACCCCTCGTGTAGGAGTATAGGCCGCCAAACAACACTCTCCATCTAACCCTGTCCTGGGCAGTCCTTTCCAGCTGTTATTCATCCTTTTCATATCTGCTTCTATTCCCCGGCTTAATGTACTCTTTGACCTTCCTCTTTTCCACTTTCCTTCAGGATGCCACGTTAGGGCTTTCCTCGTGATGCAGTTCAGTGATTTCCTCAATGTATGTCCGATCCACTTCCAACGTATTTTCCTGATTTCCTCTTGAGGTGGAAGCTGGTTTATTCTCTCTCATAATAGGCTGTTGCTGATAGTATCCGGCTAGTGAATGTTGAGTATTCTGCGTAGACAACTGTTTATAAATACATATACCTTCTTGACAATAGTTGTAGTAGTTCTCCAAGTTTCTAGGTCATCTACGAAGTCCAAATTACTAATTGATTCTGAGATGTCCATTGTATTCCATGCTTCCCCTCAGATGTCAAAGTCTTCATAATTCAGTCAATCACCAGAAGACAAGAACGGGGAGAGTAGGTGGCCTTGTCTGACTCCGGTCCTTACTGGAAATGCATCTGTCAGCTGTCCTCCATGCACGACTCTGCACTGTAGTCCGTCGTATGAGTTCTGGATAATGTTGACAATCTTCTCGGGAACTCCATAGTGTCGAAGAAGTTTCCATAGTGTTATCCTGTCCACGCTGTCAAACGCATTCTCATAGTCAATGAAGTCGATGTTTAGTGACGAATTCGACTCAGCTGATTGTTCCACAATGATCCTGAGTGTCGTAATTTGGTCTGTGCACGACCGACCCTTACGGTATCCAGCCTGTTGGTCTCGAAGTCGGGCGTCTACTGCGTCTTTCATCCGGTTCATCAACACTGTGAAAAACATTTCCTGGTACTGAGAACAAAGTGATGCCTATGTAATTCTCACATTTGTTCATATCTCCTTTCTTTGGTATCTTGATGAGATATCCTTCTTTCCAGTCCGTTGGCACTTGTTGCTCTTCCCAAATCTTCTTGAATAGAAGGTGAATCATGTTTGCAGTTACTTCAATGTCTGACTTCAGTGCTTCTGCTGGTATAATGTCATGTCCTGCCGCTTTTCCACTCTTTATTTGTCTGATAGTCATCTTGACTTCCTCGATCGTTGATGGAGTGACATCTATAGGAAGGTCTGTGTGTGCTGCTTCGATGTCCGGTGGATTCAATAAGGTTGGCCTGTTCAACAGTTCCTTGAAGTATTCTACCCATCTTTTTCTCTGTTCTTGAATCTCCGTGATTGTCTTTGTCCTTGACTGGTCTCTCTGGTTTACTATATCTCCCTGCTAGTTTTCTTCGTTGTATCATATTCCCTTCTGTTGCAGCTTTTTCTGCCGTCGTTGCTAGTTCTCCCATGTATTTCTGCTCGTCGGCTTTAATGCTTTTCTCCACTTCCTTGTTTGCTTCTGCGTAGTCTCAGTCAGTCAGCCAGTCAGTTACAACGTAGGACCAGGCACATATATGCATCGGTCCAAGTTGTCATACCTCGTTAGCACAACAAGATGAACACCGGATTCATAGAAGTAGTTAATTTAGTAGTGGTAATACATAGAGAAAGATTGTATATAAGGATATAGTGTAGGAAGGAAAAAAGTTATGAAGCAATTTTAATCTCAAGGTTTAAGGCAAGATAAAGAGTGTATACACCTACGCCATTGTGATCGATTCTGAGCCATGTCACACAGAGTCTCCAACCATCTGTTACGATAGTCACGCGGACCACAACCAAATAGTCTGCATCTACCAACATGGCTCAGACTAGAAGTTAGTGACTTCAAGCACTGATGCCACGTTTTGGTTTGGTCACCCCTAACTCTCGTCCAACCATCGCCAATACTAGTAAGCATAGCGCGTCGTGGTAATCGGTGTTCAGGCATACGTAACACATGGCCCAACCATCTCAGTCGATGAAGATTCATCACCTCATCAACTGATTTACCATCGTTCCCTAATACCCTGCGTCTAACCTCACTATTACTTACTCGGTTATCCCAGCAGATGCGAGCAATATTTCTAAGGCATCTGTGGTCAAATACTAGTAACTTACGAGTATCTTCTACTCTTAATGGCCATGTTTCACAGCCGTAAAGTAGAACAGAGCAAACTGATGCGCAGTATACTCGTCCTTTAATTGATAGACGGATATATCGTCTTCGCCATAGGTGATGTAGGTTGGGAAATGCCAAACGAGCTTTTCGAATCCGTGCTGAGATTTCGTCAAACACCAACCCATTAGGGCTGATCAGACTTCCAAGATAAGTGAAGTTGTCGACGCGTCCGACTACTTCACTCCCTATCTTTAGTTCGGGTGTTGACGCAGGCCAGTCCTGAAGTAACAACTTACATTTGGATGGAGAGAAACGCATCCCATGCTTCCTGGCATTATTATTCAGTTCTAACAGAAGACTCTGCATTTTGTCAGCATCTTCATCAAACAGGACTATGTCATCTGCGTATTCTAAGTCGATAAGTGTACCTCCTGGTAGAAGATCAAGTCCTGAAAATTCATTCGAGGAGAGTGTTATTTCCAGCAATAGGTCTATAATGAAGTTAAACAAAAATGGTGCCTTCACAAGGTTTATGTACTTCTCAGGTACACCTTTCAATGACAGACACTGCCACAGAACCTCTCGGACTACAGAGTCAAGGAAAACTATCATTGTCGGACGCCGATAAACATGTCTGTGCTCTAAAACTTGACGAATGTTTAATATGTGGTCGATACAGCCTCGACCAGGTCTGAAGCCAGCCTGATTTTCTCGTGTTCGCAGTTCTCGAGTCTTAGTTAGGCGCCCGATAATTATTGAGGCTAGTATTTTAGATGCTATGTTAGTCAGACTAATCCCTCTATGGTTATCACAGGATGGTTTTGACCCCTTTTTATATATTGGGACAATCAGAGATTGTGACCAGTCAGATGGGATTACGTCCAACTCCCAGATTTTAGCCAGAATATTAGTCAACCTAATCGCTAAAATCGGACCAACATATTTAAAGACCTCTGGAGCCAATCCATCTGGACCAGCTGCTCTTCCTCGTTTCAGATTACTTATAGCCTTTTGAACCTCAAGTATTGTCGGGGGGCCTACTTCAATGTTCCATTCAGGTTTTCTGGGAATAGTGGGTAGTTGTAGAGTAGCTGAAGGCTAACTAAACTGTTCCTTAAAGTGTTCCGCCCATCGTTCTAAACGTTTGGGTTGAGAGCAGATAAGGGTTCCGTCTTTTTCCGAGATCGTTTCACTTACACTTGACTTCTTAATTCCGGTTTCTTTCATTAGTCTGAATAGTTGCCTGGTGTTGCCCACAGCCGCTGCCTTTTCCATCTCTTTTGCTTTCGTTGCCCACCACTTCTCATAATCGTTCCTTAGACTTTTAGTTAACCTAGATCTAATTTGTTTACGCTCTTCGTCGTGTTCAGAGCCTGATGGAATGAGTTTACGCGAATCCATCAGTGAAATAGACTTAGAAGAAATCCACTGGTTTTTTGGAACCCTATGGTTTAAACAACTAATAGATGTTACTGATGTTTCTACAGCTGTTCGTATATCTTTCCAAGTAGCATCTGGGTCAGTCTCGTTTACAGAACTGCCTAGATGTGAACTCGGTTGTTTCTGGAATTCGCATTTGGATTTCTCGTCCTCCAGTTCAATCCTAATGGGTCTTCTTAGTGTACTTTTCCTGAGTCCATCGAGGCGCAGACAAATGCGCGCTCGTATTAAAGCGTGATCAGAGTCTAAACAAGTATTCCAATACGAGCGACAATCTTCTATTGAGCCTCTCCAACGATGACTGATGACAATATGGTCTACTTGAGTCCATCGTTGGTTTGGTACAGGTGGTCGCCATGTTAGACGATGTCTCTCCTTATGCTTAAAATTAGTGTTTTGCTAAACATAAACGATTGTCTGAGCATAGTTGCAACAGACGATCACCATTATCGGTTCGTTGAGCCGGAATACTAAAACACCCACCTAAATGTCTTTCTGTTTGATTCAAGCTGCCTACCTGGGCATTGAAGTCACCCGCTATGACTACTATGTCTGAGCGCTTAGCTTTCTGAAGAAGCTCAGAGAGTTTGGCGAGGTGAGGTCAAGTGAATGACCACACTAGGATCCTGTATGTGTGTTTCGGAGACACAGCATACATCAATCGTACGAGATTCTAGGGTTTTAGCTAAGGAGGCCTGTTGACCGATTTGACTTAAAGTACGTACGTTGAAGGCTCCAATGTGTAGTTTGGAGAGAAGGTTTTAGTAGACCTTGGACAGCGTTTCGCGCACTAGAATCGTTGGCTATGGTGACACTTGAGGAGAAAACCGGAAGAGGAAGTTCAGTGTTGAAAGTCAAGGTAGAAGGAATAGTAGGAATTGAAGAGGGAGATTGATTATGAATGCAGTGGTCTTGAGTGCTGTTAGAGGTATGAGGGCAGTTATCACTTCCCGGTTGCCCACACCGTGGAAGGGTCCTTCTGGAGGTACCTGAAAAGGAAATTGGGTTAGAAGTGGTCTTAATGACCTGAGAGCGTGACCGCAGTGCCCAAGGGACAACTGCTTGAGGTCGGTCACACATGACGTTTTTGTGGGTGATTTTTGTGTTAGCTCCGTTTTTCAAAGGACCTTACCGCCGGAGACGAATATCCGTGGGATAAGGCGAGGTGTGCATTTTTAGGGTCGACCTTTTCTAACCCCACCCCTCCTTGTGGGAAGGCAGCATCGCTGTCATGCTGGTTGTCTGAAGGAAACTTTACTGCTGTCACACCTCTGTACAGTCAGCAGTACGACTTCGCCTTCGGACCTTTGGTTTGCTGTTTTTAGTCTCACCGCTCTTCAACCGACCTGCCTGGCATGGTAGGACCTTAAGAAACGATTGTTCCAGCCAATATAGCTCGATTGATTCATCACGATAGGCAAGCCCGACCACCACGTCAAGGTAGCAGCAACGGTCGGGTCTGCGTAGTCTGTTTTGCCATGACTTTCTCTGCTCGTGTTTGACTGTTTCTAATTGCTGTATTCTTGTTCTCCCTTTCTTCAATCTTGTCCAGGGTTCCCATAGAGACCCATTCCTTATGATGATGCTTCTTTGGCCTCTTTCTAGTTGTATGCCATCGTAGTTTCTTCTTTTAGTAGATCCTGTAGAGCTTGGAGCCTGTTGCTGAGAGTTAGTATTTTGAAGGAAGGCTGTATTGAACCTTTGTAATGCTGTTTCCCCAGTTGTCCAGTGTTCCTCTAGCTTCAGTTTCATCTTGACAACCACCAGCTAGTGGTGATTTGAAGCTATGTCAGTTCATCTACTGGTTCTCACATCTTCCATTGTCCTTCGGAATTGTGCGTTGATACAAATACGGTCTATCTGGTTCTCTGTGGTGTGGTCCGGCGAGATCCACGTAACTTTGTGTATGCGTCTGTGTAGAAATATTGTGCCTCCTATAACCAATTTGTTGAATGCACATAGATTTGCAAATCTCTCCTCATTTTCATTTCTCTCCCCCAGTCCATTTCGTCCCATTATATCTTCATATCCTGTGTTGTCCACTCCAACTTTAGCGTTTAGATCTCCCATCAGGATGGTGAGGTTCTTTCTTGGGCACTTCGCTATGAATAATTTTAGCCTCGAGTGGAACTGATCTTTAATGTCGTCTTTGCTATCATTGGTGGTTGCATAACATTGGATAACATTCATTGTGATTCCCTCCTTTGTTTCGATGATTGTAAATACATGAGGTTCCCATCCTACAAATGCTTTACGTAGTCCTTTGAACAGCATCCAAGCAACTCCTTGAGTGCCTGGAGCAGTTTCTTTTTCGTGATCGGAGTACAGCAACATCTCAAGTACTTCTAATTTGTATCTCCTCATTTCCGTTGCTATTTGACTGGATTTCCCGGTCTTCCACATTGTCCGGACGTTCCATGTACCTATAAAAATTGTTGCTCTGGTTGTTAGAAGGGGTATCAGCCTCGTGACTTCCGAGAAATTTCGGATTTCATCATGAGGCGTCATAATTATTACTTCAGCTCCCAGGGCAGGGTTTAAATGGTTTTAATTGTTTTTTCTGGTTAGCGGGTTGTTAGGGAGTTAGTCTTCTACGGGATGGAGTCGCTAACCGCATGCCAAACCCTTCTCCCTTACCTGGGCTTGGGACCGGCAGTAACTCTAGTAGTGCTACAGGCGGTTTCAAATTTGAAAACTGACTGGTATACTTTATGTACTAAGCCACTGCTGCGCAGTTTAAAAATGAATGTGAAGGCTTTCTCAGTGACAATTTCTAAGATGTTCATCGGAAATATGTGTTGAGGATGTTGAGAAAACACAGTACAGTATTCGAATTGCTGCTGAAAACGTAGTTCTATTCATTCTCACAAAGAGAGCATCGATAAAGTAATTTCGTTTAGTGTTTAAGAAAAACCTGTCAGAGATTATATCGAACAAAACTAAAAAAACTGGTTTCAGGTTGCATTGAACCTATATTTCTATCAACATGTCCTCAGTAGTGTTTTTCAGTACAGTAAAAAGTGGGTGAGACTATAATTTATAGACGACCTTTGAGTGACGCTAAAGTGACTTCAAGAATGTCCACCTGCTTATTAGGGTAAATGAGGTTTGGGAACTTGTATAAAGATTATGATTCGCAGTTAATGGTTAGGAATTAGACATAGGCTTTTCATCACGAACTGACATAAGCTAAAATACCAAGACGCTATTTAACTATTTGGATGAATGAATTTTGCGCCAAAATGCAGGACCTGTTATTCTAAATCTCATTGGTCCTTCCATAAGTTATAGTCCCACCAAAAAAGAGAGGAATTTGCTCTTCATAATTTGACGAATCGGCTTACTTCATGCACAAGGAAAGCCAATATGTTACAGGTATGTTGATAAGTTTATTAGTAATGTTTTGAGTATAAGGCCTCAAAGAATTATCATAGCCATAGTTCTGTTTCAAATTAAAAGTCGACTTTTCCGTTTAATATCCTTATACTTATGTTTAACTGAAGACTGCCTTGTGAATGTCTTGGATTACTTACTGTCATGTTTCCAAAGGCATCATAGTTCATCTAAGATCATTCAAGACAATACCAACGGTTTATAATTCATTATACATGTTTCTGGGTCATTAACGAAGTTACTTGACTCTCTTCACGAAATATGTGTTGTCAAAAAACCAAGCAGATCCGCTTGGTGGTTTTATACTGGACTTGTCTAAACATATGGTTATGCAAGATCCTACAAAATAATGTAAAATTTTAGGTGGCAGATGTCGATCGTCGGATTCATCGCATCGAAGCTCTTATTGGCCAGCCAGATCCTAACAAACTCACAGCTCTAACAGCAGATACAACTACTCATGGTCTTCTGGAAGCATGTTCGCGTTTGTCTGCTCGTTCGTCGTTATTTCAGCAGGGATATCTTGATATGATCGAAGCTCGTCTAGCATCACTGCAAGGGAAGTTACAAGCTGTTACTGAAAAGCGAGAGGCTATCGCGGATTATGATATGCAAAATAAAGTGAGTTTATACCTTGCGTTGTGTTGCTTCAAAATGTCACACCTATTTACAATATGTTGAGAATGAGTTCTGGGTAGTTGTTAGGGCTCATCATAGTTTTACTTGCAGATAAATTTGCCGGACTGTAAACTGCATCCATCGCTGTCTCAAATAACTATTCATAATGTGGCTAAACGTTTTTTTCCAAACCTATGCCTGACAGTTCCTTGTAGGACAAAGTAAAATTGAAGTTTTCAACGTAGCAAAGAACTTTGCTGTCAGTCAGCCGTAGGTATCGTAGAACTGGACACAATTGCTCTGGTTCAATTCGTCACATCGTCATGATCAGTACCAAAGTAGGAATAGTATAAGTGGCACCGAAAAAAGATAAGCCGTAGAAAATGTGATCCTCAAGGAAATAATAAACCCACTTAATAGAATGAACCAAATAATTTTGAAAGGTAAAAGAAAGACAAGGTGGACGGATCCGGGATCCATCTTAGTCTAAAATTTTTCTAGAAAGAGAATAAAGGATCACCTTCTCACCCTCTTACTATACTAGCTTAGAGAAATACATGTAAATTATTAAGTACATTTCGAAGTGATTGATATGGTATTCCTACACCATCTTCATTATTAAGCACTATTGTGTAATGGAATTAATATCAGCCTATTAATTTCGAAAAGATGTTATTCTCATATAAAAACTAAACTGAATATAGTATAAGGATTTTACTTTTCTACTTCTATCAACAGAATTAATACTAAAGTTCAGCTTAAAAACTTACAAAATTAAATAAATTAGTGAGAAACAAATTTAGTTATGCATATTTTTGGTACTGGTTTTTAATTGAGTTATTGTATTGTTTACTATACTACTAGCGTTTCCACAGGTGTTTTCGACAGATGAAATTCTCCTTACTTTATTTACATATACCCTGGTGATTTCGCCGATTAGAGATTATCAGTAAAGCTTAAAGCTCCACACTTATTTTTGACCGAATTATTGGACAACAACCAGTTATCTTTCTGAGTGATGACTGGAAGACTTCATAAAATGAATAAATACACTTATTACCTAATTTTAGATCGCAGAACTTTACGAACTGGTAAAGAAATGGAATGATGTGGCCGATAGTTTACCTATGATTGTAGAACGACTCAGCACCCTAAAATCACTACATGAAGAAGGTAAGCAGAACATATGATTTGACATGTAACTTATCTTGTTCACTTTTTGAAATGCCTGCTTTCTATTTACTGTGGGGAGATGGTATACTGATTATAACAGTTGGATCGTATTTCACGTAACTCGGTCTAATCAACTAATTGGGTCCTTACAAAAAAATAGTATGACCTAAAATAAAATACACAAACTCCTACCTTCGCTCTTGAGCTGGATAGCCATTTGTATTTGCTCGTGCAAGCAACAGATCATGAACTGTTCCGTTGAATACTAATACCACTTCATACAACTATCACTTGGATTTAACATCAAATTTCACAAAACCTAACCCTACTATTTGGTCCAAAACAACATATGTAAAGTCCATTACAAAGTAATATCCAAATGAAATATTAGCAAATATTTTGATTGGAAAGCATCGGGACTCGAAATTGAATTACGCTCGTCAGACCTCAGAGATTGTATATTATATGGGTAAACGTGGGCAATCAGGCGTAAGAGTTTTAATTCCAGTGAAGAGTTGAGTACACATTTTGAAGGTCACATCCTTCAGTCAATTATTTAAATGACACATTCATGTTGGGTTTTATATGTCTTTTACGAAATTGAGAGGACGAAAAGCGAATGTCCAGCGCTTTACCCTGGTTGGTGGACATGGAAAGTTCATCTAGAGGAGTTGAAAAACCCTGATTCCAAACCAATGGTGTACATGGGCTCCAGTATCCTGAGGGAACAAACGGCGTATGAATCAATCGTTGGTCACCGGCTACCATGGGACTGCATCTCTTCACGATGCTCCACTGCCTTGTGAATCAGATCTTTAGGTCTAAGGCTCCGGGTGTGTCCCCCTAAGAAGACCATCTGCTTCAGTTTGGGCACTTGTGCAGTATCACAGCCCTCACACAAATCAAATGAGATTTGTGTGACGCATATATATCTGGTGCCCCTTTGTACCAATATTTATGTGTTCAAGTAAAGTCTGTATCTAGTATTTTGTGTTAGAGTATACTACTTTTTTTTAGGAATAAAAGCCATTCCGCTAGTCAGTTGCGTTGCTTTCGATATTCGTTTATTTAGGGCCATGCACCAACAATTCGATCTCGTGAGCAGTTATCAACAGACTATAATGAATCACTGCGTTTTGTCTATAGATCAATTCCCTACCCATTTATTCCAACCACCATAACATGTACATCATCATAGCACGGCCACAAGTGTTCACTACAAAAATCTGACTAAAACACTTCCTGTTTGTGAAGGTAATATTTTGGAAGGAATAGGATTATCACTTGGACCTTTAATCAAGCTTAATGTCAAATTTTAAGCAGTGACAATGGAAAGTTGAGTACATACAGTCCTACATTGGGAGAGTAGTATTAAAACAGACTATACACCACTTCATAAAATTATTTCTGGACTGGTATTCTTCATTACATTACATACTACGTACGATCACAAAATTAGTTTATTGAAGTGGAGGGGCGGCTTAGTTGTTAAATAATTCGACTATTAACCATGTGATTGCAAGTTTGAACCTCTGTTCATCTATCTTTGTTTGGGCAGACAAATAGTATTAACATCCATACAACTGTAGTTTGGCTTAAAGCGAAATACATATAACCATGGTTCATAAACGAATCTCATTATTATTTATTGAATAAGTACTATGAACACTGTTCACCTCATCACAAATGGTCATGTTAAACACTTACCTATTAAATAACATTGGAGCAGATTTTCCTACTAACCTGACTTTCTCCATAGTAAATCATAAGTTCAAAACAATAGTTATTTTTGCTCTCTCCGAGATACGTTCATTTCACTATTTAAAAATTAAAACTGCTGATAATAAAAAGTTCCGCATTTATTTATATATTACTGATTGATAATATACTTATCAACCTACTGACCAAACGTAATCATTTGTTAAACTTTCAGCGTCTCAATTTAGCCAATCTCTGCGTACAATAGAATCAAGTCAAAAAAATGTGGAAGGAAGTTTATCTTCGTATACCAAACTTTTAGAAGAGGTAGCTTCATCCTTCATTAGTTTCATTATATTTCAGGTACAAAATAATCTTATCAAGAACATGGAGGTCATAAAGGACAACTTTACCACCATAGAATCACATTTTCCAATTAGTTCTAAGTAAATTATTTGCTGAGTATACTCGTTGTTGAAAACATTCTTCCTATCATTCATTCTTTCAAAACAGTATTCTTTACGTAATGTTTTATTGACAACTGGTTTGTGGTTTTTAATCATATCGATTATAATTTGAAATCTTATTTTGTCTTTCAGTTCGTTTTGGGACCACTTGCTTATAGACCATTTAACATTTTTAATAATAAAGACGGTGTGATATATCTGAAGTAGGATGCCGGAAACACGAAGGCACTAAATTCTTTCTTTCGTTTATAATAATAAGACTTTCAGTCACCACAGAAAAGTATTGTTTTTTTGAAAAGAACCTGCCAGTTGATGTGCCACGAAAAAAAACTTAGGAGCAAAGAATAATAATGTGTCCGTTCCCGTTTTCTAATTATAAATTTTGGCGCACTATGGATGAACTTCAACTGGAACAACCAATAAGTGGCACCTTACTACTGCTTTCACATAAGTATGAAAATTCACCCTTATTTTCTTACTCTATGAAGCCAATCCAATGATGGTTTCAAAAATCAATTTATCGTTAATATGCACTATATTTGAAGATAGTTAAAGTTGAAGTACACAAGTTATAAAAAATATATCCGGGAAATTGAAGCTAACAAACTACCAAGTATGCGGCCACAAACGTTTCTGTTTATCAATAAGTCTCTTAAAAATGAGCGCCCGCCCTTCAGGAGTGGACATTCTAACTGATTCCGACATTTTGTTCTCCCGACGAGAAAGCAATATGGTGTACAGCTTTTTGCGAGGTAACTGGGTCGGACCTATTCTATTGTGGATGGTTCGCATCATCAATTCATACGACCTAGGAAGGCGATTGTTCCGATTATTTGGTCCGACTTCTTTTGGTGTCTAAAGTAAAAACCAACTAATAAGTTCCGAATGAATAAAATCCAATTATAATAATATACAATAATCAAAAGTTTTGATCAATTAGGCAACACAGGAACTCTAAAGCAATAAAACCTGAGTGACTAATTTACCGACTGTTAGTAGTGCGTACAGTAGGTTTATAGTACCCGAAAACCTTCCACATGGTTGTTGCGCGTAAAATGAATACATCAGAGCGTTTAGCTTTTTTCGGGTGGGATAGCTTCATATAAACTTCATCCGAGCTGCAATCAACCACCTTAAGCAACAATGCAAGCAAGTTTTGTGATGCTGTTCTCCCCCTCTAAATGCAAAATGTTACTTCATGATTAGCTTGCGTCATCGTTAGAATTAATGATAGGGAGTGAAGTAGTTGAGCGCATCGACCGCCTGACTTCTTTTTAGAGTCGCACCAGTTTTGATGGTCTAGTGTCTGACGAAATCTCGGCACGGATTCAAAAGGATCGACTGACTTTTACCAACCTGCGACGGGAGATGTTTCCTGATGCAGGAGTAGGCTAGAAGAAAGTTAAGGGCGTCCAAACCGAAACATGGCATCAGTCCATTAAGTTACCGACAACTTGACTTAGCCATATTAATAGATAAAGACTACCTGGTTGGGATTCGGGTGATTATCGTACTCAATGGTCAGAGACGTGATATGGCTTAAAATTGTTTTTAATGGCACACGTGCATCTTTTTTTTGTTATCCTCCAGATTTCGAGATGCTGAATTCCTCATAACTTTCTCTTGTTTTTATTTTACGAATTTATATTTTCTCGTATCGTCTTTTCGATGCCTGGTCTTCCTGATTACCAATGATATTGCTTTTATATATGCTACTCTGGAATCTGTCTTAACTTCGTTTTCTGTACTAATGGGGTATGAGAACTTGGACCGATGTGCATATGTACTAGGTTCTACGTTGTGTTCGACTGTCTAACCGATGTTTGCTGCATATTCAAGACCTGAAGTACTGAAAATTTGTCTTCCATCTGTCGAATGTAAAAGCTTGTTTTACGTGTGTTAAAACAGATATTGTAGTAATAGCCAGGGATTTGGATGCATAGGTCGATCATCTAAGCACAGACTCGACTAAGCGACTAATGGAAACTTATCAGTTGCAAGTTGAATAATAGTGGCTATGTACTGCAACTTTGCGCAGACTACAACCTATTGTTGGCCAGAACCAACTTTCTATACAGTCATCACCGGTGCGCTCTTGGTGTTCTTTAAAGAGAAGTTACGTCACCTATGCAACTATCTGAGGATAAGTCTACTTCCGATTGCGTCCGAACTATTGACTTCCGTCATACTATGCAGTGTTCTAAACTCGTGAAATAATAACTCACGAGAAGCAGGCTGTAAACTATATTTAGTAGGACAAAAACTATTTGAAAAACATATAAAAAAGATTCCAGAGGATAGACGTTCAATATCACGACAAATCTACCCAAACTCACCTGAGGCTCGAAGTGTCGAATTAAGTTGAAACTACGGCAACTAAACGCCCTACTCAGTATGGGGGAAATCGGATTCCATAATGTACTAGACATTCGTACACACGCTGATTTGTCGGAATCAACTAATTCGAACTAAATCTTAAAAGTGAAAATTAAAAAAGGTACATTGTGCGTAAAACCCTAGTTTACAAAACAGTAATGCAAGGCTGACATGAAAAGTGATAATGAGGTACAAATTATTCAGGAAGAGAATCAATAATCATTCCTTACAGCATATATTGATAAAGACACATCAATAAGAACCAAGAATATCACTAGTCCAATATTCGAAGTGGAGTTTATAAGACAGTTTACGAATTAGGTAACAATTGGTTTTCCAGTATTCAGACGTTTGAGTTTCATGCCTCGACATTTGAACTAATTTATGGTGATAGTTTACATGCTACTTATTTGGCTAAAGCACAAATAAAACATAAACCTTCCCTTGATAAAATGTTTAGGTCTTGGAGAATATTTTTTAACATACACTAGATAAAAAGTTTCAAATATTCACTGGCTTTTACAAGCCTCACGTATTAAGCTAATGGTTTCTCATACTACCACTTTTGTAGGTCAGAGCCTCCTCGTCAATATGCCTCATTTCAGAAACAGCTTTTACAATCATGCGTGACAACAAAAATGGAGATACATGGTTACTATACGAATTAGAACATAAGAAAAAAATAGAACTTGATACTATGTGAGCCCTAGCAAACAACAAACCAGTTGGAGAAAAGTCAATAGTAGAGATCAATGATTGCGTTTGTCCTTAGAGATGGCATATGAGCTAATCAATTATGCGACTGTTTTTCAGTGTCTCCATATTTAAGTACATTTGATAACTTAAAAATACTTAAACAATATAAAACCTGAGAATTGGATTCCTTCAGTTAAACATTTTCATTAGTTTGATGTAGACTACTACTCTGTTTGAACGTGTTTATTGCAATGCAAAGGCAAAGTGAAGGAAAACACAACAATGATCCAACCTATTAACAGCTTTGGAAAACTTTTAGTGGACGTAAGACGGCGAAACTTGGTCCATGACTTGCTGGATTTCCTAAAGAATGTATAGCAATCGCTTTACTTAGTTTAATATATTTTTACAGTTCATTTGGTGATCGAATTAGTTGACACTAGTCAGGAATATGATTTTGGTCAAAAAAGATGGATACTTTTACAATGGCTTTACGAATATTTCTGAAAACTCAAAGCTGAAGTAGTTTTACTGCTCAGAAGAAAGCTTATTATAGGCCTTAATAAGGTTTTTATAGTAAAAAATGAAAAAAGTTTAAACTGAAGAAAACACCTAACTACTCGAACGTCATTGATTGAGTCAAAGATGTCGGCGAGCCGTCAGTAAAATTGTTAAACTAAAGTAACACACGTGAGTGCTTCATACTATTTTCATTTGTAATCAACTTTATCATAGATATTCTTCTGGAGATAAAGCTTTCTTCATCAGACTCTTGAAGGATTGATGTAGCGAAAAATTCACTTATGAAACTAAAAGACACATAACAGTTCCTGTTTAAGAAAATACTAACATAATAGTCTTCTAAAGATCTTGAGTAAAAATACAAGCAAATGTGAGACGTATCTTTATTCCTCTGCAAAATTGTTGCATCGGGACTGATTTGCATCATCGCCTAGACTGATCGTAGGAAGTGAATTAGTTGAGTGCACCGTTCACTTAATGTATTTCGGATGTTTTACCAACCCTCGTGGGTCGGTGTCTGGTGAATCCTTAACACGGAGTTGCGAAGCTCAGTTTGCCTTTATCAGCTTGTATCACTTGTGGCGTGGGTGAAATGTTTGTCACCCAACCAAAAGATGAGTATACTGTTTAACAGTTCGCTCCTTATTACCTGATTATTGCAAAACCTGGTTTATAAAAGTGGGTATGGGTAGGCTGAATGTTTTTGATAACATGTCTTCAAAGGGTTTCTCTAGTATGGTGAGATGGACGAGTAGGCACTGCTATGATTAAGCATAGAGTGTTAGGTAAATTAGTTGACCGGGTTGTAGATCTCTATCGATTGAAGTGGTTGGGTTATGTGTTGCCAATGCCCAACCACCACCTACCTCGACGGACGGTAATTTAGTGTAGGATTGCGTCAGAAAATACCAGAGACGACCAAACCAAGACTTGATATTTATTCATGACGTCCCTGTTGGTCAGAGCCATGTTGGTGGATATAGACCACCTGAATAGGATCGTAAGTTATTTCTGTCAGAGTTACGTCGTAAGTTCATGCTTAATACTTTTTTCATGAATACAAGACATTTTCAATTAAACTGACATTCTGTTGGTTATCACATCGATAAATTCTGCCAATAGCTCTTCTAGAGTTACTGCTGGTCCTAAGGACGGGAAAACAAGACTTCGGTATGCGGTCAGTAACCGTATCTCAATTAAATTCGAATGGGTGTTCTTAGTGTAGTTTTCCTGCATCCAGTGAGGAGCAAGCAAATGCCTGTCCGTATAAGGGCATGATCGGAGTCCAAACAGCTACTCCAGAATGAGCGATAGTCTTCTATCGAGCCTCTCCAACGATGAATGATGGCAATATGGTCTATTTGAGTCCATTGTTGGTTTGGTGCAGGTGGTCACCATGTTACACGATGTCTCTCCTTATGCTTAAAATTAGTGTTTGCTAAAAATAAACTACCGTCTGAGCACAGTTGCAACAGACGATAACCATTATCTGTTTGCTGAGCCAGGATACTGAAATACTCGCCTAAATGTCTTTCTCTTTGGTTTAAGCTACCTACTTGGGCATTAAAGCCACCTGCTACTAGTACAATGCTTGAGTGTCTAGCTTTATGAAGAAGTTTAGGCAGCTTTCTGTAAAATCTATCTTTCACTTCATCCGGGCTGTGGTCAGTGGGAGCGTAGGCAAAGAAGATGTTTGACGTACAATACCAATCAAACATAGCTCCTATCTGATGAAATTCAGTAATCTACAACGTAGGACCAAGCATATATATGCATCGGTCCAAGTTGTCATACCTCAATAGCACGACAAAATGAACACCAAGTTCATAGAATAATTTACTTCAGCTATTTCGCAGCTGAGTGAATGACTGAGTAATGTAAAGACGAACAGAATTGAAAATAAGAATATGATAAAGTGAAAGATAATTAGTTCGTAGGAAGGGATCTAAGGAAAACTAAACACTGAATAATTCATTAACTGAAGCTGGATTGTGTCATTTTTGTGTTTTTTTAACACCGGGAAATCCCTATTATTATTTTAGACACAGGAAAACACAATATGTCGGGATACAACACATTACAACAGCTCTATGTGAAATCAACAGAAAAGAGAAGGAATACCGCAGTAAACAAGCACAAAGAGATAGATGTGGAAGTGTGATATTCAAGGTTCGGAAAAAGCGTGGATAAATACATAAGTTAACACGATCAATAACGAAAATTTTACCCTCTGATTTACAACATTGTAGAGTTAGAAGCTAGAAAATTTGATGGGCTTGCGCCAACACCCAAAAACTTCGTGTACTGTGGGTTTTGATCTGGTGACTCATATTATATTGAAGCACACCAGAACCTCACTACTCAACAAATAGGGCATTCATGTGTCTAAAAAAATCAGAGCATCCCTATTTCGTCGACTGACGTTTTAGGGAATAAACAACCCATACCGACATGTCCAAGCCCTCGTCTCAAAGCCCACACAACCATACGCTTAAACCGCATCATAGCTGTCAGTTAGTGAAGAAAACCATCACTTCGATTCTAACTCTATGTCCCAATTTAAGTTACTCATACTGATTAGTAAACCTCCTTTGACCCTAGTAAGTGGGTAAGTTGTTTCAAGGTCGGTTTGACGTTGCGTAAAGGTCGTCCATAAATTACATTCATACTCGACTTACTTGCCACCTCACATTTTACGTACATCAATTACCGTCAATGTTTTCACTGGGCTATCATCGAACCAGAAAGACAAACAAAAAAATGCTAGGCTAATGACGGGTGCTTGTTCACTAGAGTTAGTGCAAAATACAGAAAGACCAAATATTATACTATTTGCAGTTCATGCAACACGAATTTAAATGTTACAAACAAGCAACCACGAATTTTAAGTAATGACATATTTGTTTAACATAGAACGTGAGTGTCCTTCTATGCCTGAATTACTACAGCCTCAAATGACCACATGTCTGTTTAGCAATCATCTATACTAAAACTGTTGATTGAGGAAATGAAGTCCATTTGTCGACGATTCTGCGGGAAAGTTGATAGTCAGCTGATAAGTAGTTTGTTCCTGTGAATGGCTTCGGATAGAAAGCTATTTGAGTTCAAACAGCATTGCTGGCACAACCACGTTCAACCACTCTTACAAAGCTAATTGAAAGCCGTAGGTTTTATTTTCACGCAAACTTAGTGGTACCATCCTTTGTAGACAACACACTGCAGCCAAATCCCCCTATTTTGGGGAAGTCGCAACGAAAAACTTTGAGAAAAAAGCACGAAAGCCCAAAAAACTCCCATGTTTGGGAGAAACCCCCGAAATGTTTAGGGAAATTTTGGGTTTTCCCCAAAATCGTAGAAATATATATTTCCCCAGAATCCAACAACACACTGGGGTTTTCCACAAAATCTCTCAAAACTTTGAGTAAAACTACTAAACTTCTGACGACTTCGGGGAAAACCCCAAAATAGGGAGATGGAGATGCCACTTCCGACAGGGTATCGATAGCCCGGGAGCTGGTAATTACTTTTTTTGCCCTATCTAGTCATCAATCAGGGTTTTTCATATGAACCAGATACAAAACATGCAGAGATACAAGCCGATAACCAGACAAGTGGTGTAAAATCGTTAACTGCTAGATTCAAAAGTGCAACAAATAAAAATTACCGACGTCCTCAAAAAGCTCAGATGACAAGTTAGTCTCTAAAAAGTGATACTTTTGGAGTTGATTGGACTTGAATAAACTCAATTAGGGGTGAAGATAGAAGCCTTATTGCGTAAATGCCATTTTCAAAAAGCGAGCGTGGAGGTGAAAATTCGCATCAGTTTCAGTTTTGGAAGTACATGAGTTTAGGTGGCCCATGCCAGTCCTGATAATTATGGTATCTCAATTGATCGAATTTTCTTCTGAAAGAGTCAACAGACGGAGCTTTAAACACGTGTTGAGATAACGAATTCCATTCGATTATCTAACGGGAAAGCTGATTATCAGCTGACAAGTTGTAGGGTCATTGAATATCGAACAGATCACTGATCCCTGTCAAGGTCAAGGATAGTCAACGCGCACAAACCAATCGTACGCCATGGACTGGCCCACACTGCAGTGGTTATTCTTTCACTTCTGTACTTCCGTAGTTGTACCTTAACTAATATATTCTTGTAATAACGTCCTTTGTGTTGTACAGTCTCCATAGCATCTATTATCCTTTGATGCGTCGATGGTTCAATCCACGTAAGGGCTGGTCGCGAGGTGTGACTTCAGAGTTAATTGGTTCGTCCCCATTCTCGTCTAACTATAGTAGGCCCCCAATCATTTTGACATAGATCATCAACGTAAATGTTCTTACAAAGTAATTTGTTACAGGCTTGTAAACATTTCTGGGGTGTCCTCAAAAATCCTCTGGTTTGGAAGTTAGGAAAAATGAGGACATATCAGGTGCGAATTTATCACTAAGTCATTTGAAAACTATAATCAAATCGTTTATGGTTCTTCGGTATGACGATGGGAATATGTTTAGTATAGCCAGTTGAGCATCATTGAGAACTTCGCTTTTCCAAGAATCATCTTAGATGCTGTTCTCTGAACCTTTTCCTAAAGCTCACTGTCTTTTTTTCGAGTAGGAGCTAGCCACTTGTATGCATTACTCAAGTTTAGTACGCACTGTAGCTGAAAATAATTCCCCAAAATCAATAGCTCATTAAGTGTTCGACATTGGATTCTGACCACGTTGTTTAAGTGGACTTGTTTAACTGAAGTTTTTCGGTCATGCATCCGCACCAGATCACGTTTCGACTCAGTGTGGGACACAGCTCCTACGTTCACTAGCTAGCTAAGAACAAACGCTTCTCGATATATTGGTAACGTATCAAATATATGTTTCCAACCTCTTCGCACCTGACTTCTGATTTTAAGCAAGTGGTGGACAATTCGAATATAGGTGTTACCGGGTAATAGTTGTCAACCTAGAATACTTGTCATATCTTCAGCACGAACACTGTGTACGAAGTCAAGAAAGTTTTAGCATCGATATGGTTAAAGGTACAACATATTGACCATAAAGTTCGAGAACCTTTGGTGGCTATTGCACTGCATTGTTCAGTAGTTTCGAAGTCCTAGAAATCGATGACTCTTGAGTCATTATATGTCTGAACAACAGGTAGCTCAATGTCATTCATCATGTATGCACCTGTATCTTGATGACCAATATGCATTACAATACACTTGTGATCATTGATTGACAACTGCCAGGTGTATGACCATTCAGGTAATTTTCCGGGTCGTTTTGAAGTTTTAAGCTATCACCTTTACTTCTGTTGTTCTTCATATCTTGACATCGTCAGCACATAACAAGGCGGATGATGATAAGAGACGAGAGAGGTCATTTACATACAAGAGGAATAACAAGGGCACCAGAACTGTGCCCTGGGGCACTCTGCTAAGAATAGCTTCCCAGATAGACAACTTGGAGTTCACCAGTACTGTTTGTTGGCGCCCAACTAGGAAGTCTTTTATCTCCATCAATAGATTGCCTGCAACCCCAACATTTCTTAACTTACATAACAGCCAGTTGTGAGGAATTTTGTCAAAAGCTGTGATGAAGTCAATGTAAGCTAAGTCCATAGGTAACTCTATCCTGTGATCTTATTTGACCATTCCATTTGTCAACTCTTTAGCATTAGCATATGAGTCGGCTTTTTTCCGTAGTAGCATTTCGACGTAGAAAGCGAAGTCGACTTAAGGTTATAAAAATACATCAAACAGGAGAAAGCATAAGAAAGTAACAAAAATTTTGTTGATTAGGTCACCCACTTTGGATCATAAGAACGAGTTTTGAATAAAGAAAATGCCCTTTAAGATGTATGGTAGTAAGTATACTAACTTAGTATATGTTTAATAACTAGCGTCATGTGCAATATGGTATCTAATCAGCTAGTTCATATTTCGTTATGAGTGAAAGTGCTTTTTATCTTCTCCCATGTATAGTTGCACGTATTTTAACTTCTTATGTGATAACCCTATCAAATACTTATGACATCTATTATATACTTGAAGATATATGTGTGTTAGAAAATGAGTCCTTGCAAAATGACTTTCCTAATCATTCGATATTGATTATGACCTTTTTAATTCTAAGACATATTACTATCTCTTAATGCCCGTCCATTATTCAGTGTTAAGCGCTCATACTCCTCAAGGTAACCAGTTCAGAAATCTGATTCTCGTTATATTTCCCCAAAATTGAATACATTTTTCCATCAGAATATCACCATCTTCCTTTGCTTGTCTTCCAGAGAAATCGTCGGTACACTGCTTATCTTCATATAATATGATAGAGTCGTATATAGATCTATGAAGATTGTAATTACATGATATGTATTAAAGCGGGAAAAAACAAGCGTATCAATCAGCTATTTGCATTGAAAAACGAGATTAAAACCGATGAATTAACAAATAAAGTGATTAAGATATTTTTATTGTGAGTAGTGCTACGCTAAAGGCAGACGTACAATCACTGATATTCGGTTAAAGCTGTAACACGTGTTATCAGCAGTCGCAAATATGCGTAAAAGACCTGAAACCATAACACGCAATCTTAATCGAGAACTTAACACCAAGAAAGAACACAGAGTGGAAGCCATGAGTCTTTTATTTTTGAAAATTAAAATCCGCGGGATATGTACAGAAGGAAAAGCTAGTTTAGAAAATAATCTTATGAATCATCTTGTAGGTTCAGTAAATGCATGGTTTGCTCTTCTGCAATAGAAAGAAAACAGAATCTGCTCATTTTTTGGATTACACATGTAATAAAATTATTTGCTTCATCTTACATTCCCTAATTTAGGAAATAAACTCTAACAACCACGTCGCTGCCTACGAAAAAATATTCTTCCTGAAAGCTGCCTTTTAATCCTAATTCAATGGCATTGAAAAGGAGCGTTCTTTAACATATGTGGTGACTGCTTGTAGCTGTAAATAATTCCCCAAAATCAATAGCTCATTAAGTGTTCGACATTGGATTCTGACCACGTTGTTTAAGTGGACTTGTTTAACTGAAGTTTTTCGGTCATGCATCCGTACCAGATCACGTTTCGACTCAGTGTGGGACACAGCTCCTACGTTCACTAGCTAGCTAAGAACAAACGCTTCTCGATATATTGGTAACGTATAAAATATATGTTTCCAACCTCTTCGCATCTGACTTCTGATTTCCGTTGGGCGGAAAGAGCTTCTCATATAGACAACAAAGATGTACATAGGTTGTTCACTGGTGTTCTCATTAGTCATGATGAAATACAATTCGCTAAACAAATTTTGGCAAGCGTTTACGAACATGAAAGAACAATACACTCAGAAATGATGAAAACGAGCGAACAAAAATCTTTCTGAACAATCAGCCGTGAATCGGTCGATGCTGATGCTACCGTTAATCCCATTCTTAGCGATGATACAGTACTAAAGTTCACTCGAAAAATACTTCGAAGGGTCTTTTGTGTGCTCTTTCGGGAAGCCGTTGAAGTAATTAGCGACATACAATGACGTGTGTACTTTTTCGTAGGTCAGGTTGAACAAAAACATCAACTGATTACGATAGAGAGGGGACAACTTTAACTGAACTCATCGCATTCGGAAGCCTACTTGTGTAGGAGTTTTGATCCATATTAATTGAAAAGGATGAAGAATCTACGAATTCTCCTGGAAGTCGGAATATCGTCTCACAAACGAGTTAAGCTGCAGTATATCCAATGTCAGCTTTTACTGAATTGTGAATACGGAGTACAACTAGTGGAAGAGCGACGGTCCACTGTGAAACGTATGCAGGTGAGAGTGAATCTTTAAGCCGTCGGTGAAATCGTTCCACGAACCTGTTTCTTTGTGGATGGTAGGTAGTCGTTCGCAATCATGAGAGTTGTAATAGTGTGATCAGAAAAAGGTAAATTCCAAATTCGGACTGGCATTTACGATCTTCAATGATAGTTGAGGAACAGTCGAAGTTTGCTAGACACCGTTCGACGAAAGTGCGAGTCACTGTTTTTGTCTTAGATGTGTACCGTTTCTGGCCATCAAGTGAAACGATCCAAGCACATCAGAAGGTAAGAGTCTCCAAATGAACCTGATAAAGGTCCTACTAAATCCAGATGAACATGGTTGAGACGAGGATCGGGAGTTTGGAAGGTGTCTAAGGGAAATTTGTTGTGTCTAATCACATCAGATTTCTGATAGCCTACACAGGAATGTGTCCACTCCCTCACATCTTATTTCATATCAGGCCAACAAAATCTTTCTGTGATGATTTTCATGATTACTTAAATACATGGACGTCACTTTCAAGCCGAGGCCTGCAGTTTTCTTTTTCCATGATTCTCACAGAGCTGGATCGTTTATTTTTGTTGGAATCGCGAAAGGCAACTCATTTCTGAATTATATACATATAAACTGTAAATTCTATACTCTATGATAAAATCTCAGTATAAAATATTCACAGTATATATAATCATATTCATATAATAATTCATATTTACATAATTACATATTTATTTTGATTATCCGACTGAACCATATTCTATCAATTTAAAACCATAAGTAATCACATTTGACGAAGAATTGCATTCCATATCTGCACACTATTCTGTATTCGTATGCTATAACCCATTTCATTTCTGAAAATAACAGTTCCATTCGGTGATTCTGTCATAGCCTTTGGTCAGTATTTTTACCTAAAACTCTGTTTCACATATTTCGGTCATGAAGCATCATAATAAATGTAGATGGTAATAATCTTTAAAACTACTTTATCACCATCCTTTCCCCGATTTCAACCAATTCGGACTTTCCGTTTATATCTGTACCACATACCGTACCAACTTTGATTGTTTGATACTGATTATCGACATTTCTAGATTAATTCATTATATGAGGCTATCTTTCCGTTTAATATATTGTTAAAACTTACCAAATATGAATGTTTATGTTCTATTTTACCTCCATACATATACCGATATACATACTATATCTCTAATATCATCTTTCTGCCATTGCCCCACAACCTTGTATTCGTCATTTCAACTAAACCTCACGATATATTCACTCTTGTTTCAAACACAGGTTTTGATTTTCTAACTACATTGAAACCTCGGCCTTGACTTTTCCGCCCGTTTTTATTTCTATCACTTTGTTCAATC